CGGGGGGGGGGGGGGGGGGGGGGGGGGGGGGCGGGCCTGGGGACCCGAGACACGCCAAACACGGAACAGCATGCAAGACGATGACCGTCCAGGCTGAACTCGACTCGAGAGACATCTGGTGAGCGCCTGGGTCCCCAAACACTTCCGGAGGGAGTGGAATCACCGACAATTCTCATTGGGAACTCATTTCCTCAACCAGGATGAGAAAAGGATTCAATTTTTGGTCAGTTTTGTAACTGACACTCGATGAAACACCTGGTCGTTGACTTGAGGAGTACGGCGAGACCAGCATTAGATGCCGCAGGGATTTCGGCCCGCGAGGAAAGGAGCTCATTGTCCTCTTCGCCATCTTGGTAATTGCAGTGATGTCTGTCATCAGTCGACGGATTGCCCATGTTTCAGCAATAAAATCACTTTTAAATGAATGATGTCCCTGCTGCCAATCCAGTTTGCTACATTTAGTGCGACTACGTTGAGTTTGCGGGTAGGCAGGTTGCAATAAATTCCATCAGTGTTGCCGGATAGCTGCTTTCGCGATGCACACAAATTTCTGTGAAATGATCTTCTGTCTGTGAATCAGGGCAGAACAAAAAAGAACTGCCAAGAAAACGGCTTTCCCTATTATTCAGTGTAGGCTTGAGCCCCCCCCCCCCCCCACTATTTAATCTCAGACATCAATGGTGACCATGGAAACCGATTGTCTATTTGCGACTGATGATACATTAAAAGGATAGAAATTAAGGGTTGATTTGCATAATGGGTGAGGAAAAAATTGCAGAAAATTAATCGAGAGACTGAAGTGCTTGAAATACAGTTGCAACGACGTTCTCTGATCTCCAACTGATTTTCAAGCAGGAGTAGTTTCAACTGCTTCTTGCATGGACCCAGTTAGGCCAGTAACTAATTAACCAGTCTATCGTCAGTAATGTGAAATTCCACCGTCGTGCGAGTCGCCCTTCGACAGACTTCGTGCCTTCAGCGGCAAGGCTGTCAAGGCCTAGTTGGTTTTCTCCGTGTCCGACTGACACCCGTCGGGTTTACAGTTGCATCGACTGCGAGGGGAATGCCGTCTGTAGGGGGGGTTATGGGCGCTGGGTATGTTACTAGCGTTGGATATCGCGTGTCAACTCCATGCGAGCGCAGACACACGACTGCCGCTCGAGTGCAATCTGGCGAGAAACTCACCAAAGTTAGCGAGAACTCCGCTAGAGTCCGTCTGCTGGTGGAAGCCGGTGATCTGGGAAATTCAAATCTCGGCGGTAGGAGTGAGCAGCTTGAAATCACCACTGCTCATCATGAAACCTTTGCATCCAGCAGATATTGCGAGAACGGGCGAGGAATCTCCCGATTGCAGTCGAGAATAACTTTGCGTTGAACACTGAAAAACAGCTCCTTCTGTAGGGTGGTTCACAAGGCTCAAATTTATAGCTAATTACTGGAAAGAACTGATTTTGAGTATTTGGAGGCTGTCATTCCGGAGGGTACGATTGACTACAAGTCATTGTGTAGCCCATTTCAACACAAACCAATCGTTGCACAGGTATTCCAAGCTATACTTCCCCCATCTTGTGATTCACATAATAAAAAAATACCAAGCATGGGTGGGGGAGTTTTGAGTTATCAACTCATTGTTCCAGTTCTAAGCCGTTCATTTTGGCTTCAATCCATTCTGTGTCATTCTCAACTTTAACATAAAACAACCCCACAAAAATGACACTACCTGCCTGTTTGTGTGCAATACAATAACATTCCTCATGGAATATCCCATTCCATTCTTCATAACGGGTGTGGCACATGCCTTAAAAGCATGACAATTATGTAAGGGGAAAAAATATGCCACACCATGAAAATCTATCCCCATGTTTCCCAATAGTAAAAACAAAGAAAGGATGTTGAAAACAGAAATGGCATAGACTGCAGCACCCATGATCTTTGAAGGGTACATTTTGAAACTAAAATACATTTCTGCACCTATGTTTTGTTTCACTGCATGATCATGACCACAAGGGAGAAAAGTCACACCTTTATCAGATGAAATAAACAAGAGGCAAAGTAATGCTGAGCAAAGGTTGATAAAATTTATATCACAGCAAAGAGCCCAGGCAGATGTTAAATCAAACATCAAAACGCTCCAAACAGAGGTTGTAGCCAAACTCCTCATAGTCAGTCCTGGTAACAACCATATCACTGATGTACTTGGCATCCTCTGCCATTATCTTCCCTCCTTCCCAAGGATACAACATGGAACTGTGAAGAGAGACCACCACTAATGAACATCACTATTGCCATCCAGAACAGAGGGCAAAAAAAAAAGCAAAAGAACATACTTGGAAGGGAGGTGGACATTGACATCCAGATGCGAAGGTGCCAGGGACCGAACATCTCGGGCTACCCGCTCTCGGAAATTGGCAAATAAGCTGCTTCCACCTGTGAGAACAATATTGTTGAGCAGGTGCGGCTGGATGAAGTCAGCACTATGGGTGGTGACTGTATGCACGATAGCTTCTGGAATCCCCATCTCCATAATGCCCACATCCGAGGGATGGAACAAAAGCTCTGGTACGGTGAATCGCTCATTGTTCATTCGTAAAATCTGTCAGAAACAGATTATGCTCTGGTCATTATTTTATTAAAGCATAATTATCATGATCACTATTTGTGCACAAATTCAAAACATCAATAAAAGAGATTTCAAATTCCTACCTGCTCAGAACCATCCAAAGGTCGACTGAGATCCCGGATGTATCCCCTTCGGACGGTGGTATAATCAGGGAGAACATAGTCCAGTACCACAGTGTTGGCAGGTCCCCTCTGTCGAGTTCGAGCCATGTCACCCATGAAGTCCAATGAGACATAACATGCATCTTCCTTCACCTGATTGATCACATGGGTCTCATCCATCACGTGTAACTGTCTGGTTTGCAAAACAAAAACAAAAAAAAAACATTAATTCTCAGCTCATTCATTTTCCCTCAAGAAATATGGAACTAATAGTTCTAATCCATAAGTTCTTTATCTTTCTTTTCCCAAAAATTTATTCCAAAATGAAGAAGATCCCTGCACCCCAAGTTCAGAGACCTTGTCTGAACACTAGTACAAAAAATGAATTTTGTTGTATACAATATTGCATAGCACAATAATTTCTCCACTTTAATGGACATGCAAATCATCCAGGCAAATCAGATTTAATCAGGATGAGCCTCATCAAAAGGCATTGCTTAATCCCTTAATGTTGTGCCACAGCTTCATTCACAGAATGGAAGCCAATGCAGAAAATTATCTGCCCAATGCAAGTAGAGTGTGCAAAATAGAAAAACATGTCATTGAACAAGAATGAATCCAGTAAGAAATGACAAGCCTGCACCACTCTTAAAGAATATTTGGTTCTATCTCGAGTGAAAAAGGAGTTCCTAATTTAAGTTGAAGATAAAAAACAATTTTCTGAAGGTGCCTTTATATGTTAAATAAAAGAAAAGAAACTGGTAGAGACAGATCTGATGTGTACATACAAGAAAAGCAAGATAGTTCATGTATTACATTTAAATTAGAGTCTCCCCTTGGAGACACACTGATCTAAATGGATCTAAAGTCAATGAATGGAAGTGAAGACCTGTATGAGATGATTTCCTTCAGATGATTGGTGAGGACTTTCCCTCCAACATCAATGCGGAGGATCCCTTTTTTCCATTTCTTCCCTTCAACATAGGGAACGATGTGTGTGAAGCTAAAACCAGAATCAACCACTAAGCAGCACATGCTTTCTGGGTGTCCCTCTTTGTACTTGCGGGCACTGAGATCTGCAGCTGCACAGAGAAAATGCAATCCATCAACATCTGGATTGTGCAAATTCTAAAGCATAATGGATGAATCATTTAAATAAAAAAAGTACCATTGACCCTAAGAAGGGAATTGAACTCATATTCCTCAAAGAAAATCTCGCTGAGGGTTTCCTGGATGGATGAGAAGTTGAAGATTGGCTCTGTGATGAGAAGGCCAGTCTCAGAGAAGTCCACATTATACACTTCCTTTCCAAAGATGTAATCCCAAACAGTCTTCTGTACTTCCCAGTTCACCAGGTACCCCTGCCAGGAAAGAAAAATTAGAAAAAAGCATGGAGACAATATAATTATGGTACTTTTGGTCAGATTCCCCCCCCCCCATCTCAAGCACTGTTCTCATGCACATCTCAAGATGGTACAAGAGGATTGCATTTGTCACTGTTAACAGAGGTTCATCCTCCTTAGTCCCAGTGTTCATAATTCCAAAATATTATAACATTTTATTTCTAAATTTTATTAATTCTAAAAATTACTTTTATATTATAAATTATTAAATATAAAGAGTAGACCCAAAAATTGTTCATTTTTTTTTAAATTAAAATATCACATTTTTCCTACTAAAGTGAGGTGCCTGCAATTTAAGTCATTATGATGACTAAACCATGATCAAATTCACTTTCTATTTTGAAAATCAGTTCAGAAGTTTTTCCTCTGAAAATTTCATTGTCAGAACTCCAAAAAACAGCCCCAAAACAAGGTTTAATCATATGTACTTTGGAAGAGCCTCGTTCCTTCAAACTATCTGCTGAAACTGATAGAACACTTCTTTCCATCTACAGGTTGACTTAAAAGTGCCAGTTCAGTTGCAGTTGAACTATAGTCCTAAGATGGTCCCAGTTTGGTTGCAGTTGCAGTCAACTAGAACTACAACTGGACCTTGAATAGACTGAGATTTTGAAATCATTCTCCAGTTCCTGTTTGACTGCAGTTGCTACTCGCTTTTTTATTTTCTGTTCAACTGCTGTCAGATTGTGGTCCAAATATTCATTGACTCATTTCTAACTTACTCATATGTTTTGATTGAATTGAAACAGATTGATGCCAGCCACAGATTGGTGTTATATTCATGGTTCAGTTCATCACCGGGGACATCTCTTCAGCTGCAAACATTAGCTGCTTTGGGACTTAATTGCATATGGGGTGCTCCATTGCCACGATTTGTGACTGGCAAATGCAAGCAAAGTACCATCCTCATCCATGGCAAGGAAAACCAAGCTGCACCAACTTCAACTCAGGAAGAAGAAATTGAGGCATATACATATTTATTAACTTGACCTTCCCATCTAAACAGTTGCCTCAGGGTGGGTCTGGTTCGAGCTCTCCAGGTGCCATGACAGAAGAGAGGATTCAGACAAACTAATTGGCTAGAATCATAGTCACACTCTGGTCAGACTGAAGTCTGACTAAGATTGGACTGGGAGTCAACACAGACTTTTGCAACTTCAGTCTGACTTGGATTCAAATGGCACACTTCAACTATTCTTGAACGAAAAACCCAACTGCAAGTGTAACTGAATTGAAACTGAACTGCCCTTTTGAAATCAAACATAATGAGTGTCACAGTGTCTGTTTTTCACCTAACACTATAAAATTAATCAAAGTGCAAAAACTTATAAACTGATTTTTAAAATAGAAAGTGCACTTGATTGTAGTTTAGCCATTCTAAGTGATGATATAAATCACAGGTACTTTACTCAACCCCTTGACTGTCAAGCATGAGCATACTCTGGTGAATGTAGTCATAATTTGTTCTCATGCACACCATTTACTTCTGGAAACTAGTTTCAATTTTGGCATTTAGAATCAAAATATAATAATGCTCTGGACTATAAAGAAGTCATAGCAATGAGCATGGTCTATTATCAGGATTCTTTTGAGAGGCTTTCAATTTCACTTCCTAGTTTATCCAAGGGATAGCTCAAGTTTCAATATAGCAGTCACCAGGATGGATATGCCTTCCCTTGCAGTGAAGAAAAGTCATTGGTTCAGGTATGGATCTTCTACTTGAAAGCATGCATGTCTCACACCTATCAACAAGGTAAGGTTTTTGTTTGCTTGGCTGATTAAGAGTATGCTTGATGAATTTCCTAAAAGCTTCAGCTTGAAATCCAGCCCAAACAGGAAACCTACCCAAGATTAAAACAGGCACCATTACCATTCCAATTTTTAGTAGCAGAAGCATCACATGCCTAATACCTCATAGCAAGGGTGGTCAATTATGTAGAAATGATCTGTGATCAGTATCAAGCACTGCACTTCTAAGAGGTTTTACATCTGCTCAGACTCTGCTTTACTCTTTGTAGCCAAGTGAGATTAGACAAGACAGATTCCTATTTTAACCTTTCCACGGGTGAGTTTTGAGACAAGTTTACCCTGGGCAAAGAGGATCTACCTGAGAATTTCTCAGGGATACCAGTATCACCTCCTTATAAAAGGAGCAGAAGAGTCAATCAAAATACACTACAGTACTAGACAAGATCTTAGAGAACCTTTTCATGTGCAAGGATGAAAAAGAGGCCAGAAGTATCACAGCAGTCATCAATCTGGTCTCCAATGAAGGGGCGACGACGTTCACTCCTTGCCTTCATCACACAATTTGGCATTACCCTATGTCAAAAAATTAAGATATAAAAAAAAATCCAAGGTCAAATGAATGCTGTATTATCAATGTCTTAGCTCTGGCTTGGCATTTACCTGGGTTGCTCCTGCTGGGAGAAGCCAGATTTGGAGTACATGGCTCCATTGTCCAGGATCAGCCACTTCTTTCCCACTTCCTTCATTACTACACCTTAAAGTTTTATTTGAGGAAGAAGTAATTTTGACGTTTTAAGCAATTTTGTAAAGTAATTCCATAATTGGAATTTGATGGAGGATAGCATCACACATAATAAATGAAATGGATGAATAAGGGCCACACTGAATTCAAAATGCAATTAATTGCATTCCTGGCCTTTTCTAAATGACACCATCACATTTCCAAAGGGAACACACTGTGATAAAAAGACCCTTGAAACATTTTTATTTTGCAATGCTGAACATCGGGAACCATGGATCACATTCAGTGTTTCAAAAAAAGATATGCCCCAATGAGACAGAGGAAGAGAGATGAGCAGACAAGATTGAGAATAAGGGCAACTGAAATGTGTCTTAACATAAACCAACTGGTTTCAAATTCCTAGCTGCAGTTGATCTCAGATATAATTCATAATTAACCTAATCAGTTCATTGTATTTCTGAACTTACCAAGCTGATGAATACATGCTTTTTAATTTCTAGCCTCTCTTCCTCCAGAGGGAATGGGACTGACAAAGACAGAAAAAAAAAAAAAGAAAATGGAAGTCACACTCATGCAAGGAAAAGAATGTACTCCCTTGAGGCTCCTCAAACATCTCTCTTGTTGCCTGAAAGAAAGAATTCAAGGATGAGAATGCAGTTAGCTTGAATGCATTAGCTGAAGAACACATTTTCAACTTCATGTATTTCATAACAAGACTGATGAGGAAAAGTGAATACCTCTTGCACTTTAATCTTAAGTGCATTGCAGGGGAGACAACATCATTGCTAAATTAAGCAGAATGAGAAATTGATTGAGTAGGATTGAGCAGGAAAAGTAGTGCTGAAGCAACTTGTAGCTGCCTAAACCATGAAAAACCCAATAACATGGAATAAGTCTTCAATGCAAGTAGCACAAATGGAAATGTTCATTCCAGTGTGGAGAAAGGCATTGTGAATCATTTCCAGTCATAGTTCCCCCCATTGTTAGAGGAATAAAAAATGAAAAGATGAAGAAATTCAAATTTCTCTCTTTGCCATTACAGCAATTCACAATGAGACATAACATATATCTCATCTTTGGTAAATCAATATTACAAGTTTCATCAGCTAAGGAAGACTTGCTTTTCCCTATAATGGCAAGATGCTGAGCATGTATTCCTTCCAATATAACTTAGTGTCTTCTAAATAAAGTTAATATGCAGTACATAAAATGTTTTTTTTCCTGAAAATTTAGTTTTCCTATCATGTGCATTTATGAAACACTTTCATATGAAAGACTCACTGGGAGGAGATGGAGGATAAGCAAGTGGATGACACAGCCATTACACCTGCAGGAAGGGACCAATGTCAATGCATCTTGTACTGCATCTCCTCTCGCATACTGGACAGCTCTCCATCAAAAACCACTGTGATCTCAAAGTCCAGATCCCGCTATTTCCGAAACAATAAACAAGTACTCACTCTCCTGCTGTCACTTAAGCCTGTAAAATGAAAAAATAGGACAAAACTATGGTTGTCCTTATTGGTACATCATGATATCCATTCTTTTCCTACTTACTCAGGTGGACTCTTTTAACATATTAGGGATACACCAATACTGACTTGACAGACTGATCCACCAATCTTGCCCATGTTCACCATCTCCAAAAGAGGCATACCACCAGTCCATTTCCCCCTCCCTCTAAAGGTTAACACTTTGAGTCCCATACCAGTCATATGATGGGTATGAGCTATAGTGTATATTCAAATCCCTGGGTACTGAAAGTGCTAGGCAATTGATCTTTTCTAACCTGCTGCTTTAAGCCAATTTCAATTAAACACCAAGATAGGCAAGGGGAATTTAAAAAGTTTTAGGCAGATGCACTTCCAGTTTTAATACCCCATTCCTGTTTTTCTCATGGGAAGACAGATGTCTGTGATGGTGACAGGCAAAAGTTAACCAAGGAAAGACCCCCACGGAAAGGGTCGTATTCAAGATGTAAGTAAAAAAATAGCAATGGAACTTTCATAGGAATGGGTCCCATAAGGTATAGGAAAAAAAACAAACAAATCAATTACTTTTTTGGGCTGGCATTTACCTCCAGATGGTTCAAGCTTTTTTTCTTCCAATTAATGATTTATGAATAACAACCAATATAAAGAATTTGCTTAATGTTTATTCCAATTTTTGCTTGGTTTAGGTTGGAGAAGGAGGCAGGTGGAAAAAGGGGATACAGCCCCTATCCATTTTGAATTTCTAAGTTTTTATAAATATTTGCTCATAGCTTTGCTTCCAGGAGAGAATTTGGTTATCTCTTAACATCTGTTGGAAACACCAGTATTTACACAATGCCTGTTTCATTAAAAAAAAAAAAATAGCTCCAGAGGGAGCAGAGACATAATTTTAAAAAAGTCTATGGGTTTAAAAAAAATACTTAGTATACAGATTTACTATTTGCATTTGCAGCCACCTCAAGTCACCTTGTTCCATCCAGCCTTTGAGATAAAGGTGTCTTAGTACTTACTAACACAAGGACAGCAATTACCAGGCTCTTGGCTTAAAACCCACATTCCACAACCATAAGCTGGATACAAAATTCACAGAATTCACCTTGTTTCGCTTGTTGCGGCGCATGAGGAAATGCCCCTGAATCTCCTCCCCTTTCTTCACAGTCAGACTATCCTTCAAGTAGAACACTGTCTGCTTCCAGTGCGTATAAGTGTGCTCAGGAGCTGCATTTGAAACATGAATTTCCAACAACCAATGAAATTGTGCTGAGGACATCAATCAGAATGTGTTACAAGTTGGAAGCTCACAAGTGCTAAATGTGATCCTGGTATGGCATTTAGTGAAGTCAATGGTAAAGAAGGTGACCAGAGCCTGGATGTAATCATTCCTTCGGACAGTCAGGTAGAAAGGAGTTTCAAAGTCCAACTCATCCACTGACACTGTGTAGAGATCCACTTCCTTCAAGAGGCAGGCATTTGTCACCACCTAATAAAATAACGAAATGGAGGTCACAGCATGAAGAATTCCAAGGTAGGGTTCTAGCAAGGTCTTTATAGCTAGACAGTTAAACAAATAACAATTCTGAAGTTTTTAACTTTGTCTAATTGCAACCATTTCAATAAAAACAGCACATGTTTTGTCTGCAGAATGAAACACTGACCTCTCCCCCACGATAGGCATTGTATCCAGATTGGGATGAAAGCAATAGACAATATTATTCTATAATGTCTTTTTCTTATTTCCACAATTTTCTCACAGCCAGGACATAATGCAAAGTGTGCTGATGTACTTCATGGCTTATAACATTTAAACTTTTCCTTGCCTTCACCCTTTAAAGGTACACAGAGAATCATTCTATGAATGCATCAATCATATATGAAATATCTGAAAATCTAGCATCAAATATAACCTTAGCTCAATTTGCCATTTTTCACCTGCTTTGGATCCACGACATCAACTAAAGGTTCAGAGATTGCCACATTCTTGATACAAGCCATGTTGAAACCATACACATTGTCCCACCAATTGATCTTCTCATCTTTGTACTGTCGATCCTGAAAGGAGAAGGAAAGCCATCACCTCAGAACTTGATAAGAGTAGAACCTCCCCTCACATATCCAATGAAAAGCCTATACCTCAATGGCACAGAGGAAGAGAGTAGCTCTGTCAGGGAACATGAGACCACCAGGGGCAAGCCACTTGTCTCTAGCAAAGAGGACAGTCTCCAACATGGACTCATAGAATAAGCAATAGCCCATCCATTCACTGATGATGATATCTACCTTCTCCACACCCTGTGGAAGTGTAACTTCTTCCACCTTCCCCTTGATTATCACTATCACTGTAAACAGAGCTTCCACACTCAAAAAAGAAAAATAAACCACCACAATATTTTCTGTACAGTATACAAAGGCATACCATCTTGGAGGTTGTTTTGTTGAACAATGGTGCGAGCATGGTCCACTATATTTGAACAGTCTATGCCAATGACCATGGAAGCACCAGCTCGAGCAGCAAACATGCTCAGAATACCAGTTCCACATCCAACATCTAAGACGATCTTATCTTTGAAGAGGTGCTTGTTATAATACATGGCATTCCGGTACGTCATTGTCCGCACCTCGTCTTTCAACATTTCCTGGAAGGAAAGTAAGGCAGATCATAAGCCTATATGGGTGATTGAGGTATACAGTTGCTATTCTCCTATCAAATTGCCAAAAAATTTCATAAACTTGGCAGATAATTTGGAAAAGGGAAAATTATTGAAAAGAAATGACATCTGACCTCATGAATTCCAAAGTGAGCATATGAATCAAAATAGTAGTCTTTGGAAGTCATTTCATCAACCGATAGATCACTGACTGAAGCCTCCCCATTTTCTTTCACACTGGGAATGGGTTTGACCTGGTCTCCAGTTTCCATTTCTGCTCCTGTATTCCCACCACTCATTATGAATGTTTGCAGTCTCAAACCTGAAAACAAAAGAGCAGAAAGTTAATAAGACATAAGGTCAGTCAGTTACCTAGACTAGGTGACAAGAGCAGACCTTGGCCCATGACATGCATCCAGCATATTACAGACCTATGTCCTATACATAAACAATTAATTAGCCAGAAACTTGTGTAAGGTATGTAGAGAACTGTACTGGCTTCTCCTTATAAGTGGAGACAACTGGTGGAGTGAATCCTGAAATGAGGGGATGACCCATTCATTTTTGTCTTGCAATCATATTGAATTGTCATCTATCAGTTCCACAAGAAACATTTTGCTGCTGCATACCTGTGCAGCCAAAAATGCTCTGCTCTCTTCCTTTCAACATTAAAAACAGTCCAGTTCTGAATTATAAGAATTTCTTGATTTGCTACATCCTTCTGTTTTTTTTTTATTACTCCAATGCATGTAACCCCAATTCATCCCTCCACAAGTTTTGAAAATTTGTACACATGCAGTATGTCCTTCCCCTATCCCAATTATACAGTGACTTACAGGACGTAAGTCACCAGACTATTTAAAAAAATTACATCTACTAACCAGTTGGCACAAAAAGGAATGTTAACTGAGTGATAGCATGTCACTTGGGATCAACTTTGTCAAAAATGGACATAATTCTGAGTTTTGAAAGTACCTGAAAATACCCTTCACCAGCATTAATACATTTAGCATAAGGCTAAGCCCTGAAAAATCACCAAAACTCCCTTTGAACCCTGATGGAACTCTCAAAGACCTCCATCCAGGGTGGAACTTTTCTTTGTTGCTCCAGCAACAATTGCAAAGTCTTTTCTTATAAGAGCAAAATCAAAGTAAATTAAATGATATTTTTCTGTTTCTCAAGTCTATCTGAAATTAAGAGTGAAAAACAAAGTTCAGCAACTTGGAAGAAGAGGATTCAAGGTGTACCATAAATTGCAGTAAAAACAAATTCGCCTTTCCCATATGCAATTGAAAAAATTTCTGCTCAAGTCTGTTTCCAAGCCATTATCAATGTTCTTCCTGTCAATGCTAACAGTGATCTACTTGTTGCAGTTTGAAACAATCTAGTGAATTAAAGGACACCCTGTATACCATTTGAGTCTGTCCACACAATGTGGTCCAGAAAGCCTTAGCAGGAAATATGACCAAATTTGTGGATACTGCATTCTATTTGTGGATACTGCATAATCTTGCCCTTAAAGGCATGAATAAATGAGAATATTATTTATACAAAAAAATTAATAAGGAGTCATTTTTATCATATATTATTGGTACCATTCTCATGATTCTAACTGATATGACAAAATGGCCTAATAGGACTACTGAAGTTGAAGTCAGCATGGGTTCTCCTATGCTGATCTTGAATCAGTTCATGTGTGAAGAGAAGAGGTCAATTGTTCAAATTTGAATGATATCCAGGGAAGACTTCCGAAGTGGACCACCCCCAGAATGGCGTTAGAGATATATCATATGAAAGTACTTTAGGAATAGGTTACAGTGATATGTGTTTCAGCTGAGAGAGTTGAGGTATGAAGGTGTAATATTAATGTGTTAATATAATGGTAATGCTCTACGTGGGCATCCTGGAGCAGCCATGCGCCCTGCCCAGGCCATTGCGTCTGCTAGCTGTGCTATGGCCTTCCCAGGCATGCGCACTGTACTCAGGTCAAGTTTTCTTAGGCTCTTCTGGTCTAGTCGTCATTGTTCTGGTGTCCTCGCAGGGTCACAGTTAGTGTACCTCAGAAATTTTTTTCCCCAGTTCGGTGTCAAAGGCCAAAGAGTGAGAAAGTCAGCCTGTTTTGGGAATGATGGGTCAGTTGGGTTAGGAAAGGGTCACGGCCTTCGGCTGCGATTATTTTCTAACCCAACTGACCCAGCATTCCCAAAATAGGTTGACTTTCTTGCTTTTTCAGCCAAAAATAGAAGGAATGCAGCTTGCTGGATCTGTGTTCATCCCATCTTCTCTGATGTTAGTTAGTTTAGGTTTATAGTGAAAACCCAAAAGCACTGGTGAAACAGTGTGCATGTCTAGCATTCAGGTGATTGATTTTATTCTTTTGGGGAATATGGGGTGCATAAGGTTACTGTTCCTACAAAAAGGGGCACTCTAACCCTCTACCCAATATGGCTGCCCCCATGTTGAACATGTGTGTGCACGCCACTACTTGCCTGCTTAGCCTACAACCCACACATCTTAAAATATAAATTACTACTTCTTTTCTTATTTTTTTCAGCTAAAATATGCACCAATGCAATCTATTCATCAAGAGCTTGCAATTGATATATCACATGTACCATTCCTGGGGGTGGTCCACTTCGGAAGTCTTTCTGATATTCAAATGTGGAATTTTAAATAGATAGAGTTTTCATTGTAAGATGAACTTTCAGAACATACCACATCTGACTGTCACAAAATAGCCTTGCTTTCATTTCCTTATGTGATCAAAGGGCAAGTTAAACTAGTTCCAGACTTTCATTTCATACATAGGATGAACATAATACTAAATTGATGAGTTCTCATACATCATGAAAATGTGACAAGAGCCAGTGACACTTTAGGTTTCATGAATTGGCACATCCAACACTTTCCTTCACATGCATATGAACCTTCAGCAAAAAAAAAGTAAGACTTTGACTGATGGAACTGTAAGTCACCGACTAAAGCTAAATGATACAGCCTTCAAATGTTGATTTGTAACTTGCTAAACACATTTTATGCCTCAAATATATTATTCCAGATGTCACATCCAGCCACTGTGAACAAACTTGTTTGTCTCTGATCAGGCTGCTTTTTTTTATTCACAATAAAGTTTGCTGATGCATTATTTCTCTCCCAAAACAAGAGACTCCTCCAATCCATTCAATTAGGTTGCCATCTCACTTCAAATTTATATTTAGCTGGCAGCATCCATGAATCCCTCAAGAAAAACTTTGGAAAATATAAATAATTGAAAACATCTTGATCATTGGTGCAGCATTTGCTCTCAAAGGTCCACTGCAAATAGTAGTAATTGCTGTTACTAAGTGGTTTCAAACCTTTTCTTATAGTGAGGTTGCTTTCCCCCTTGTCTAATAACATCTTCGTAACATTTGATAGAAGGGCAATGAGGGTTCCCTGACAAACTGCAGCAATATGGCATCACAAGGTCCATCTCCCAGATATGACAAAATGTGCAAACCAACTTTAATATTTCTCAAAGAAGCAATTACTGCCTCACTCTGTGACTTTGAATTCACATCCATGTGAATTTTAGCTCTCTGTCCAAGCAAAGCATATCTGGAGATATTTCATTGCTGCTGTAAAATATACAGGTGTGGTTTGGAAGGAGTCAGTCCTTCATCAGCAAAAAAAAAAAAACGATGTGGAAAACCTTGCATTTCCTATTCTACTCTTTCACTGCAATGTCCCCACTCATGCTGTATAACACAGACCAACAATGGAGACATATGACCCTTGATGACTATTATCAATTTTCAAGCGGGTAATGAAACACATGACAATAAATATGAAGTCCTGAATGGGGTATGGTAGCGCATCCTGGGACAAGCCTACTCCTGACTCATGTTACCCACCTTCATGGGAGGAGCCATGACAGATGAAGAGGCAGTTTCGTAACGGATCTGGTTTGGAGTACCAAAAGAGATCATAGCATCTCCTTGGTACCCTCGGGTAGTTAGCACTTCCGAAAGGCAACCCTAGCATGCCAGCTTGGTCGAAACACTTGCAAAAAAAAAGGACCTTCTATTCATCGGTCTAATATCTTTAAATGCAAGAACCGATTCCAACACACCGAAACATAGACTGGAATTAAGTGGTATGTGGTACGTACCAAACGAAGCAAAACAAGTACCCTAGTTATATGCTCGTCATGAGTTGCCAAATATCCCTCGGTCCCGTCCGTGTTAACAGCCTTTATATCAGGCCCACCATAATAAAGCAAGAATGTTAACTTAATGTAACTTAATTTCTTTCTTATACTACTTTCACGTCAATAGGAAGCTATTTTTGCGTTGCATGCCCTACATCGACAGAGAAAACTGAGAACCATTGCGATACCGCCAAAAGCCGGAAGCACTGTAGTTGCACGAGGAGACGCCATGTTAAAATGCAGCGGGCTATGCCGATTTCTCTCGTGTCTCGTTACCATTGAGAGAAGCAAGGAAGTGCGCCTGCTTAATAACTCTTACGGGACATGTCGTAAAAGTCTGAGCAACCACAATTCTGGACGAAATATGAAATTCTCATGGTTTCTACTCTTCATCCTAAGAACGTAATTGAGAATGTACCTGCTTTTATCGGCCTTATGAAGAGAGGAGGCGGGGACAAAGAGGGGCGGGGATGTCATGGCTACCTTCATAGTTACACGTGGGTAGGAAATAACCGCTGAACCTTCCTGGTATTTGCTTACTATGGAGGATCCCTTAGGGATAGCAGAGTTGAAGCTTTCGTATGGCCTTTATCTGTTGAGGTAAGGAAGAAAAGCTACTGCTTGGTTGTTAATCTGATTGTTTATCCTTAGGGGATTCTGGAGGATGTCCGATTTGTGTGATTGGTGCCATTCCAGGGAGCTTGCTGGAGTAAAAATTCCTGGGAAGTACTGCTCCAATGTGAATTGGCGGTTGAGTGCCGTGGATGAAGGCATCAAGGCCTGCGTCTTGTGGGATGAAAAACCTTTGCTTTCTTTTCATGAGTTGAGCTGTATTTGTAGATATACCAAAGATCAAGACTGTATCAGTAGCAATCTAATGGTCTTGGAATTGGGAATGGACCTGATGATTATGAACAGAGAAATGTTAATATTTAACTTAACTCATTCCATGAGTAAAAGGCACAACATTTTTGTGGAAGTATCTAACAAGGAGTCACCCAGAATCATGGAAACCCCATTTGAGGAATGGAAATTTATTGAAGAACTGGCAGCAAATCAGCATGACTTCATCAGAACACCAGTCAGTGCTGACTTGTGTGGAACAGCAATTTTTGGCATCCTCCTTGACTATCCTGTGATATATCATTATGATATGGCCTCATTCAATGGGAACATGTCAGGAATCCCTCTCAATGTCTACACGGCAGCAGCTGAATTTGTGAAAAATGCCCATGACAAGCAGCCATTGTCTGCAAAACTCTTCTCCTTCAGTGTACCTAAAGCCTTGGTAGACAATTGTATGGAAGTGAATGAAGTCATCAATGAATGGAAGAGGAAACTTTCTCAGACTTTTCAAAAACAAAATGCCTTTCAAAATCTGTGTTTTAGGATGGATACAATGACTCCATCAGCCCTTGCGCTCTGAAAAGTTACATCATTTTGGTAGGAACAAGCTTTCATACCTGCAAAAATTATCACGATTGCCTTTTCCTGGTCCAACCTTATCTGAGGTGTTTTTTCAGTCAGAATGGAGAAGAGAGTGCTGAAGAGGCAAGAGGAATCTTTCAGGAGGTATTGGCCTTGAACCCAGGGTCATTAAGAGCCTTGAGGGCATTGGAATCAACATCTAACTTGTTAGTATCACGCTGGCACTTTCCCATGCTCAATGATGAGAGAAGGAACTCTTTGTACCGGGATGCCATTGATGCTGCCCTGAAAAGTGGGGTTCAGTCTGTTTTGGATATTGGCACAGGGACTGGATTTCTGAGGTTTGGTTTCTCATGAAGTTATTTTTCCCCCCTGAAACTTTCCCCATTAATAAATAGTTTTAACATGATCACTTTCAGCTATTTGGTCTGGAGATCAAATCCAGCAGGAGTGTATGCATGTGAGATGAATACCACCATGTACAAGATTGCAAGTGAGGTTCTTAAGAAGAATAATGCTGATGTCCAGCTGATTCCCAAAAAGTCCACTGATTTGCTCATCCCTGATGACTTGCCTGAGAGGTAAGTAACATACAATAGGCATAGTTTTTGACCAGACTTTCTAATTAGCTGTAAGTCTAGTATTTCTCAGGATAAAAAAAAAATTGAAATACATTTTTTGGCTTCTTGACTTCTGGTTCAAGTGTTAGTTTAGTGGTTTTCATGGTACTGGCAACAATTTATTCCATTACTATATTATCTTGATCCCTTGAATTACCCTCCAGCTTTGTTATTTTCAGCCTTTAACACTTCATCATTCCAATTACTTTTACTTAATACTTCTTATACCTTTGAGTGGCCTGTAGAAAGGCAAAAGGTATTAAATTGTAGCCCAAATAAATGCAGAATAATGTGCTTAACCATTAGCAATATTATGCTGTCATGATCAAATAACTTTCCTGAACCCATTTCATTACCTTGACTTTCTCCTACACAGATGTTGTCTTCATATATCTGAAGATTTCTTTATCAATCTGAGTCATTAAAGTAAAATTTGATTGCTGAATCCCTAGCACTTATTGTATTTGGATATCAATAATGCTACAAAAGGTTATCTTTTCTCTGCACCATTCATTTTTGGACACCCAGTAAATTTGAGACATAATTGATGGCCAGCATATAATTGGACTAACAAGGAATAGTTTTATCTTCTCTCTGTTGAAAATGCTGGTCATTTTCCAGAGCAATGAGAAATTTACTGCTTCAGAGGAAATAATTTTATACCCAATCAACTATGATTAGGGCCATACTGATAGCAATGTTTGGTGAATGAGTTGATGGTCAGTTATGATTTGCTCTCCAGTTCCATTCCTGGTGTCAGTTGTGACAAATATTAGAGAAAGGCCATTATTATATGTTCTGCTATGTGTTGCTGATTATTTCTTCTCCAGCTGAGGTGATTCATGAGAACTAATTTTTGATGACCCTGCCACAACTTTCTTGTGGAGGGCTAGAAATATGCATTTTATTGGGGAAAAAAAAAAATTTATTTACTGTCATTATTGCTTTGGTAGGCTAATCTCAAATAGAAACATTACCCTTCTCAGGCATATGTCCACATTTCCATTTTAGGACATGAGACAGGAACTCTAATGGGATGTCTGACACAAGCATATCATTCAATTTAGGTCCCAGTTTAAGGAGATATTTCAGCAGAAGCTTATCCAATATAGACATTTTTTCTGGGGGGAGGGGGAGAAAAAAAAGGGTACATCTGTAAAACTTGGAAAAGAAAGGAAAAATGCAGCAGCATACCTGATGCCATCTCTTAACTGTTGTATCTGCCACACAGAGGGATTGAATCATGCATTGTGGTGTGTTGATTTGCTTCTTGAGAGAGGTAGGAAGTAGGAAATTTCTTTTCTTGGGAAAGACACAAACTCCAACCCCAGGCCACAGGCACACATGCATGCATTCCTCTCCTTTTGCATTAACATAGGAATATTTTTTCAATGACTAAGGATCCATATTTTGCCATATCAGTGGCCTATTCCAATGGTTGCTAATGCATCACCCTAATCCTAGTAGTATGATTTTATTTCATTTTGTCATATTCAGAGCAGATGCTGTCATGTGTTTGCATGTTCTCACTCCATATGCTAAATTGCTTCATCATTGTCTCTTTGACAAAATTAAAATTTGCATTTACATGAAAACTTGATATCCAGAGTAATTCATTGCTTTCCTTATGTCACTATATGCTTCTTTTGTTTTCAGGGTGGACTTAGTCATCTGTGAAATCTTTGATGCTGGACTACTTGGAGAGGGTGCACTGGAGACATTATCCCATGCATGGGAGAATCTCATCAATCCATCTTCCAATTCTAGAGTGATTCCCTCAAGTGCAGATGTTTTTCTTGCCCTTGTCGAAAGCCCTGATATTGCTCAGAGTTCATGTGGGAAGAAGACCTGCCTGCTCAAGGAAGAACCATATGATTCAGAGGTGTTATCTTCACTGCCCCGTGGTTTCCGAATTCTTTCAACGCCAACTGTCATTCTGCATCTGAACTTCTGTGATCCTGAAGAACTAGTGCAGATTGTGAAGAATGGGAAAAAGAGTTTGGTTGATATTGAGCTCAAGGTGTCTGGTGTCCCCCATGCTGCTGTGATATGGTTTGATCTGCATCTGAATGAGCACCTCACAATAACAACACATCCCAGTGATTCTGGGTGCTGGGAACAAGCAATTTTTCCTCTGGGGAGTATTGACCCAGTTCTGCAAGGAAATGTTCTCACACTTGCCATAGATGTGTGTGATTACATTTCAGTTGAGTTGGCATCAGAGCCAAATCCTAGGCTTACACCTTTTCCATCACCACATCTCAAAGTAATTAATGATGACCTATATTTGGGCCAGATTCAACTAGAGTTGAAGCAACTTCTTGGAGACCTGAATCAAGGAGACATCAAGATACTTGACCTACATGACTTCCCTGTTGCTGCCATTGTTTTGAAGGAATGTGGCCTGAAATCACCTTGCACTGTGTATACTGTGGAAACTTTGTGTGAAAATGTGTATGGAGAAGATGTGAAGGTGATCAGTTCAGAACAGGCCAAACAAGAACGTGCCAACATTGTGTTCCATGACCCGATTTCAAAAGATGGAACACTCAATCCTTATGTGCTGTCATTGCTTCAACAGTTTCCAAAAGAAACTAAATTCCAGCCAAGCCATGTGGAAGCCTGGGGTTATCTCTTTGAAAGCCAGAGGTTGGAAGAGATGAGTCGTCTGGTGTCGGATGAGCGGACACTTGGATATGCTGTTGCTGAATTTCTCAATCGATTCAGTGTCTCTTATCATGTGGACTTGCATGAATCAACATTGCCTAAACTAAGATGCAGTGATGATTTTTACATCTGTGATATCTTTCCCTGCTTAGATTACTCTGGTGTAGATGCAATCACAGTAACTACTTCTGGCTCAGCAGTTGGAATCATGGTGTTCTTTAGACTTTGCTACTCTTCAGGACTTTTATGCACTAAGGATGTGGGACATCACTGGAAACATATGTGCTGTCTCTTTCCTGAGCCTACAAAGGTTGTGCAGGGAACACAAGTGGGTGTGTTGTACAAGGTGTCCCAGGGTGAAATCTACTTGGCCATCCAATAAAATGAAAGTCAATTTTGTGATCTTGATTGCTGGTTTATTGAAACAAAAAAAAAGAAACTATGGGTTTTCCACCTCTCAAACATTGTGGAAATGCTAACAAAACCAATGCAAAAATGAGTGACATAATCTTGCATTGCTGAAATAGTAACATTGACAGATGTGTAGCCCAGACAAGTCCCAGATGACATACTCCCAGATTGCTACAGGTGTTCGTTTCCTTCATGGGCTATATCAACAGCAGAGATTGCCATTCTCATTTAACTCAATACTGCCATTTTCATTTAGCTCTGCTGTATTGATTAAACACCTTGAAAGTAGATCATAAGGATCATGAAATCTGGATTGCAACCAAAATCTATCGTGCTACTAAACATCCCAGAGTAGGTTTGATATTAAGTAAGCACAACAGGATTCCAACTCAATTCAAGAGAGGTTCCATCAATTTTGAATTTCAGCAGATGTCCAAATGGTTGCATGACTGAATGGTGGACACACTCGAGGCACTTGTCCAGCAAACACTACCCACTCAACTCTGACATTCATGGCACCCATACCATGCTGATAAGACTCTAGCTCTCTCTCCACCATATCACAGACACTAGAGCTCCTCCTCAAGCCTTCAGCTACACTCAAAATGAACGAGACAACCTCTTGGACATTTGCCAATATTTACATCACAGACCAATCAAACCACTAGATCTCCCAATCAAAATTCTGTGGTTTTCCTTCAAGTGCCATTGCACTTCCAACATCCGATTAAACATTTCTTCGGCTGGCCTGAATGTGACAATGGCAAGGATGAATTTTGATAAGGATAGAAACAAGCTGAAAACTAAACAAAGAAAAAACCACAACAATACCAACAATTGTATAAATTGGGACATGTAAACGAAAATGGAATAGCCCTAAAGTGAACACAATATCACCAGACTAGGACTAAAGCATTATACACTGACCCCAACAAATTGGAAGTGGAAAAAATGAAGATTCCAAAAGCTAGTTCATGGAGAGAAGGGGACTTTTCCACTCTTCCTTGCTGATGCAAATGACACTGTGGGATTCCATTTGGATCACACACTTAAGATCTCTGGTCATACATTGATGCATACTCCTGATACTGTATTTACAGTTGACATTTTGGGGAGAAGAGGTCTGTTATCACACGAAAAGCACGAGCATGGGGTATCCCAGGAGAGAGAAAAAAGTGAGCAAGAGAAGATGGGCTACGGTTGGGGTTTTATAAGAGATACGAATTCTCTTTCTCTGTTCTGGTCCAAGAGTGGAGGATTTATCAAGTATGGGGAGGAAAGAGCTGTTGAACAACTATCACACCGGGTCTGGGTTCGTTGCCACTTCCATTCCTTCGCGACTGTGTTGTCAGTTCCAGGGGTTGGTCCTCATCACCTTTAGCACCGCGACCCTCTTCCGAGGGGTTGCACGTGTCCCTCTCCTCCAACTTCTCATGCTCTTCATGAGCAATCTCATCAAACAGATGATCACCTTCCAAGTGGCGAATTGCCTCTACAATGGTTTCTAGGCTCTGGCGTGAGGAGTTGGTGACATACACCCTGCAATTAGAGAAAAATTTGCAGTACTGAACTCATACAGAGCAACCAGTTTTCTGAAATTCAATGTTCTCCATGTAACTAAGCCAAGAAGTACAATCACCTTCTTGGATGCAAGTTCAAGAAAGGCACTTTTATTCTACCTGACGTGGAAACACTTTCACAGAGGTCACATGAAAGTGTACTATGATGTCAGGGCATTGAAGTGTAATCGAGTTCGAGAGACTTACTGCTGCGGAGGAGGCTCGCTGATGACAGGCTGAGGTTGTTGAGGCTCTAAGATGGGCTTCAAGATGCTGACAGGGGGAGGGGAGGGGTTCGACGAACAGCTTTCCTCCTTGGCGTAGTGGTGGTTGTATTTCACAGCAGTCACCAGCACCTCTTCACCGGGCCCCAAAACCATCCCAGGTGTTTCGGGTGGTGTTGATGAGTCACTCTGAAAAGATGCATCATAGATTAATGGATCGCTGCACTGCAAGTCAAGGTCATATGAACCCATAAACCATCAATGAATAATTATTACCTTCAAATAGGTGAACCCCTTTTTGTGGTTCGGCCCTGAGGCATGATTCCGAGAACTTTGGGCTTGTAGTTTGGCTTCAAGGGATCGAGTTTGATCCTCAATCATGAGACGAAGTCGTCTTTCCCTATCTAGCTGCATTCGCAGGTCGATCATCTCTCGACGAATCTCATCGATGGAATCCTCTTTATTCTTCCCTCCGCAGTCATCCAGCGAGTCCACGGGGACTTTTATAAGATACGAAGCACGTTAGAAATATCTGCCAGTTGTTGCAATTTGATGAATCCAAGTGTAACTAACATACCAGGACTAGCTTTTTTGCGTTTGGGCATGGGCGAATCTCTGCCTCCATCGGAATCGTTGAGGGCATGCTGATGGTCGAGGAGTCTCTTCAGCTGGCTATTCTGGGCGAGGAGTCGAGTCTTCTCCTGCTCCAGTTGGTAGATATAATCAGCTGTCTGCTGCAGGATCGCAGCCTGCAACGATAAATCGTAGAGATAAGTTCCATGAATGAGCGCCGACGGATAAACAACTGTCATGCGCGACACGGATCATATCAGGTTTAGGGAACATCCATTGAGAAATATAAAAGCATCGATGATAGAAGGCGAAGAAAAAAAAGCGCGCGAGACTACAAAAGCAGTGCCCAGGAGTGATGTTAGACAATGGCACCGCATGGCACGACTTCAAGGTTACTATTACTAGCGGAGTGAGGAATGGATGGGGGAGGGGGGAAATGAGAGGGCTGAGAGCCTGTAGTAAAGCCTGTAGTGAAGCTCAGGTCAGTGGCGGGCTCTGGTGGCCGACCGCCAATGCTACCACGCTTCCCTCCCTCGATTTTTTTCTCCCCTCTGCGGGAAGGGCGTCACGCTCCATCACCCTCCTTTTCCCCTTCTTTCTTTCTTCCACCAAATCCCCTTCTTTTTCCCTCCCCTCTGTCGGAATGGAGGTGCGAAGAAACGCCAGCCTTGAAGGCTGGAGGGGTCTCGCCTTCCCTGCGACAGGGGAGGCTGCGTCCCTTCCTCTAAATCCGTGAAAGGGGGGCAGAAGACACACGAGCAGGAGGAGGCTGAAAGAAAATTGATGGGTCGAGGGTGTCTTCACTGGACCGTTACCGCATTGTTCAGGGAAGCATGGAAATAAAGAAAAATCTCAAGTGGATGGGGGAAATTCTCCCCTGTGGCCCGTCTATAGCATGTTCATGCCGTATAATGTCTTTTTTGTTTCCCCTCTTTCCCCCTCATTATTGTCTGTGTCTGTTATAAAAATGGGGACCCCATTCGCCCTACAGGCAATGGGGTAATGATCCCCTTCTGCATCGTGTTCCGAAATATCAGCTGTTCGGGGATTGCCCACGCAATCGTGTGTGGAAAACACGTGTGCTTTGGTTGTTGCTAGGGAGACAGACTCGGATGTAACGCTTCCACCTGCCATGTACCACGGCGACGTGAACAGCGTCACAAGTTGATTTTCGACAGCAACATGGCTCCACGTTGACAACATTCTTGGACCCGGAATGACTCGGGATCGGACCTGTCATGTTTTCTAGTCAGCGTTTTTATTCATAATGCCAGACGCAAGTCTAAACACGCCTCTGAAAAGAGAATGAAAATGGGACGGGAGGCGTCCGGAATGGGCAAGGTCAGCGATAGTGGTATCAACCCACCATCTGACGCCTGGTTCACAGGGTCCGACGAGTGTCCTCCAATAGCGAGCTGACTCATGACGGAGAGAAAGAAAGGCGGGAAAAGGGCCCCGTGAGCACTACCAAGAAATCGTGCGACTGCGTCACTCTTCGAAAGTCAGCTGAGGGTGCAGCTGAAAGAAACCTTCCGCACCCCCCCCCCTTCCTTCCTCCTCAGAGATCAGCTGTTTCAACATACAGACACAAACAAGACGCCAAGCGGACCAAAAAAAAAAGATAAAATAAAACCGCTCTCTTTTCCTTCCAGCATGCAAATGCTTTCGCCCTCGTGTTTTCCTGGAATTCCCCTCCCTCCCTCGCCCTGGTAGGCACGGCTCGTAGCGCAAACGAGCCGAAAAAAAGAACATTTCACCTGCGCACTACAGTATACCGCTTTCTTCTATTTCATCACTACTCTCTTCCTTGATGCGTTTGTGTGTGAGGCCGAGCGGAAAACCGCCAAGACAAAAACTGCGCAGTATGGGAAAGACCTTGCAAAACTCCTGTACCCGATTGGCTTTATTCGGTCGATGACATCCGGCTGGTGATGCAATCGCTTCTCCGTGTGTGTATGTGTACCTTTCCACGAAAAAATACACACAAATTACCTTGTTCAACAACCGTCTGACCTTGGCTAAGGGAGTAAAAAAAAATGCTGCGCTTCATTGGCGGGGATAATCGGAGGAAGTCTGTGAGAAAACTGACGCGTCATAACACTGTCGAGGTAACCTCAAACTTCCCACGCTCGTTTACAGGACCAGCTGGGATGGACTGCATGGCGATTCATTCTCAAGGAGCTCACGGGGGAGGGAAAAAAAAGGAAAAGAAGCGATTAAAAAGCGGGAGGGGAGGAAAATAAACGGACTTCGGAGAAGGGACCAGCTGGTGACCCGCCGCCTCTTCCAAGAAAAACAAGACCAGCTGACGATCTCAATCGAATGACATCTCTCATCCCCCCTCGGGTCATAAAGTGACTCACTCATGAAGGGAACGGAAAAATAAGGCTCCTTGGTCGTCAACAGGAAAGGGAGAAAAGGGCGTGGAGTAGTAAACAAGCTAGGGAAACGCAAAAGCAAAAAGGGGCCTTTTAAATGAATTCCACGAGAGGCGGTTGCCCCCACCTTCAACGGTTCCTCCCCCTCTGGCGTCACAATTGCAAGTTATATGGGGAGAGAAAAAGAGGGAGAAAGAAAAAGGGAGTGAATTCCTTTTCAAAGATGGGAGAAAGAAAAAAAAAGGGGGGGGGGGGGGGGGGGGAGGAAGAAGGGGAGAGTGTAAGTGAATGAAGCGAAGCGATCAGCAACGGCGATTGTTGTTGACTCGAGAAGGATAAGAAAGAAGGGGAAAAGGAGGGTGATGGAGCGTGACGCCCTTCCCGCAGAGGGGAGAAAAAAATCGAGGGGGGGGGGGNAGGGGGAAGGAAGCAAAAGCTCGACAAAAGGTCTCCACAAATAGTGAAAGGAATCCCGGAAAAACTCCTAGGAGATCATGACGCCTGCCAAAAACCTGCTTACAGCAGAAAATCCAAGCGGATTCCTTTGTGTCTGCCAGAACGGTGGAATCGAAGAGATTCGCACCGCGTTCCAAATTGAGCGAGTGCCAAACCTCGCGCGGAATTCCCCTGGGATATATACCGGCGTCTCTCTGGCGGACATCCAGTCCCATGATGGTTCTAGAGACAGGGTGAGAGGGAGCGAGAGAGAAGAGGAGAGAGAAGTGAGTAATCTCGTAAAGAGGGGAAGGGGGGATTCCGAACAGCTGAGTCCACGTGGCAGATGACTATGACCACACCCGGGCCAAGGAACTGATTCATTACAAGCTGCTGACTCAGTCAGTCAGTGAGTGAGTGAGTGAGCGAGTACCAGCGAGGTTGTTGAATAATTCAACAACCGAGCCGGCAAGGCAAAAGCAACAGGCGTGGAGTCATTCAACCGATCAACCAGCTGATCGCATTCCTCCGGCGGCAGGGATGCCAGACTCCCACTCCTTCCTTCGGCGCACACCTGTGCCCCGTCCCTCCGCGCACCTCCATAACTTCCGCATATGACCACGCCATTCCCCCTCTAACTAGATGGCATGATGACCGAGAAGCGCGCTCATGAGAATGGAGAGTGCTGAGCAAACAATCATTAAGGAATGGGGGGAGCCCGCGATCGCCGTGCAGGTGAGAAGCAGCACTGCGTCTTGAGGGGGGGGTTGCTCAATCCTCAAGAACGATCACTGAACCCGCGTATCCGGCAACCTTGAGCCCGAGCGCTCAACTCTCGCAATGGAATTCACGCTTGAATGCAACACGCGCGGCCAGCGCATTCCTTCGTGCCTTCCGTATCCTTACTCAAGCCAATCATACTTTATAGCATCTCTTCCAATAAGAAACATCTGATTAGGTTATAAGTTTCAATTCTTATACCACCCCGTTGGAACCCGTGAGCAACGAAAAATGCAGACGAGCTCATAAAAAGTGGGTCGTTCTTCCCTTCCACGAGGCTGTGTCGTGCATCCAATGAATGAGATACACGACAAGAACAGCAAGGGGGCACCCAAATACGGTTCAACAGAAATTGAATCCTCATTGAAGAACAGCCCAGACATGGCCGGAGGGAAAACATGCATGAATAAGAACCCCGGATGTGTCTGGTCGGGTGTCTGGCAAAAGCACGAACGAGAGATCTAGTTAGTCTTGTCGAAGGATTTTCGGGCCAGACATCCTGGCTGAGCCTTGTGCAGATCCAAGCCCCGCCCCCCACGAGGCGAGCGAGAGAGAGGGGAAAAATCCTCCCTCCATCCGTCATCAATCGATCTCCCTCTCTGTTTCCATGGTAACCGACTCGCTGACGTCAACAACAAACTTCACCCACCAGCCTCTCTCTCTCCCCCCCGCCTCACCTGCCCCGCTTTACATATGATGACTGAGTGAAAAAGGAAATCCTTCCCGGTTCCAGACGCGGCGGATTAGATGGATCACGGCGTAAAAAAGAAGCCAACCCAGGGAAGGGAAGGGAAGGCGGATTGCGTCAGACATGGGGGGCGCGAATGGCGAGGGGATGAGTCAGAGTCAGCTGATGGGGGGAAAACGTGGCTTAAACACGACTGATGCAATCCTCCTTCCGGCATCTGGATATTCACCCCTCTCTTTTCACAATCTATAGTCCTATACAGGTATTTCTAGTATCTACAGATACCCTCCACGTGGATGTCCGGAGTGCAGGAGGCAGCTGGATATCAAATGGAGGGCATTCGGTACGCAGCGACCTACTCGCCCCAGGAATATGAGCGGTGAAATCAATTCAGCGACTTCGGAAAGCATTCCAGTCTTGCTGGCCATAACGGTGGCGGCTTCATTACAGATCTTCGTCGGGCTTTTAATGCGACGGTACTTTCTAGAATCGTGTCAGTACCAGGTTAACTTCCGGGTGTTGTCTTGCCTACTTAAAAAAAACTTGTAATTCTTAAAAGTAGGCAGGCAACACCCGGAAAAAATGGAAAAAATATTTATTTTCCCTCACGTTCATTCATACTAACGTCTAAAGTGCCTACCTCGTTCAAGAACACACATGGAGGTCGTTCTTATCTGAATCCCACCCCTCCTATCTTGCCTTACCCAGTTTCATTCAAAAATGATAGCCGAACAAGAAAAAACACTCGAAGGCCGCAGAACCGTCCTATCTCGATCCTCTTCCCCCCCGTTCCCTTATCGCCGACCAATGGAGTGAGAAGCGCATGCAGACCCCGGCGAGGAAACGGAAACGCATCCCTCCATCCCATCTCCATACAATGCATCATTTCGAAATCGAAACGGAGCCACCGCGGATGCCGTGAGAATTTCTCTCCCGAGACCCCAGGAATGTCTCACTGTCGAGTACTGTTCTATCCCTCCGCCAGAAAAGAGAAATCTTCCCACACTTCCCCCCCAGCTCAACTTGCCATACACACATTACTCACTAACGTCAGAACAATAAACACAAGATTCGTAGCGGGATACACACATCCCAAACATTCGTCTCCATGTCAAGGCTATATTCCCCGCCCAAACAACTCCACGACGCCACCAACATTCGACTCACCTTGGACAACTTCTCGCCCTGGTGGGGCAGTAGGTGGCGAAGAGAGTTGAACCCATTGTTGATGCTTTGCATCCGCTTCCTCTCGTTAGAGTTCGCTATCTGTCGCTTCACCCATTTCTCCTCTTCCACCTGACTCTTCGGCGAGATCGGACGGCTTCCGATCCTTCTGCGTGGGAAATGGAAACCCAAATGATCGCACATGGCAACCGATGGGAAGCCTAGCCTGGGATAGTGTTTTGTAGTGGGCCTAATTCGGGCTGCATTGTCGGCGCAACTATGGAGTTCTTGCAGCGGAGTGTGAGCTTACGATGCAGCACGGACTTAGTTCGGGATCGTTTGGCACGCATTAGCGTAAATGCATTGACACTAAGCTCCTTTTTTCAATATCACTGCAGGTAAGTCATAAAGTGTCAAGGTAATGGAGAAATGCATCAGCATTTAAGGTAAGAGCAGTCATGCGAGGCCGGCTTTCATGAGGAAGACGCAGCCGAGCAAGGCTAGGCCTCAAGTCACGCGGGCGCCCGAGACAGACAGCACTCGATCGCGTCTACGGGAGCCTATCGTGTATTGATATGAAGGGAAAAAAAAATTATCTTAGTTACATGAGAGGTAGGTGGAAGGCTACAGACAGCTGAGATCGAGCTATGGAGCTGGTACGGGAATATCCCGAACGCGGCAGCACCATCGCTGCTCGGCCACGCCGATGTCAGCTGTTTCCAGGCACATGCTAGGCTAGGGCTTATCCTACTGTTCCCTCACCTGCATAGGCTTCCGATCACCGAGTCGTGCCTTCGTCGATAGTCCAGGATGGAGCGCTTATCGTCGTTCCGAGAGTATAGGGACATGCCGTGAAAACACGGACGAGGTAGGAAAAAAAAAGCACAGGATCAACGAGGAAGGACGGAGCGCGGCAGCCACACCATACTCTCCGCTCTCCCTGCTCGTGTGAAGGCGGGCGTTTGGCGGGAAAACATCTGGCGCCTTGCGAGTGTATTATTGCGCCAAGGTTACTCTACCTCGTCCCACCGGAAACGGCCTGCGTAGTGCTGTTTCACGATGATCGCCGTTTCACCGGCATCGCATAATTTCATATCTCACACAGGAAACCAATTCGTAGATCTTTCCGTTTAGGATGCAGTGGATGAAAAACTCGAGGTACCAGATCCGGGAACTATATTATGTAAGTAGCATCGAGGGGGGATTATTTCCGTCGGACGCTGCTGTGCGGCTGGCGTGGGGAGAATGTGGATTGTCTCGTTACGTTTTTCTCATTTCCAAGCGCTTTCCCTCCGTCTCATGATTGAAGGCTATAACTACACGTACAGATATGCGTTTTGAACGCACAGATGCAGGAACTCGCGAAGAAATCCAGGCAGGAGACGGGAAGAAAGCGGAGCAACAACGAGCTGAATCCGATCTGAGTCCAAGTTCTCCTTGGTGCGAGAGGAATGCAGTCTCATTGAGAGGGAGGAGGAGTCTGTTCGGACGAGGGAAGTCTCGTGACGCTTCGTCATCTCACGATCCCTCCTTTTTTCCTAGGCCAGGTAGGGCGCCGAGCCCTGCGAAGGGACAGGCGGGCTACTCAGCTGTTTCGGTCTCGGCTGGGTGGGGAAAAAAAAGCCCCTGCGCCGTCTCGCGCGCTGCCGTACTCTATGTGCGTAAGTAGTACGTGAGTCTGGAATTCCTCTTGTTCATCCCCGTACGATTGTCTTGCGATTGTCGTGCGGGTCACGCGGTCAGCGTCGCACGCGATGAATGAAATGATGATGGATGAAGTTGGCCTGAAGTAAGTTTTTTGCACAGACATGCAGTTGTGCGGATTTCCAACCAGTAGTTGCAAGGCTATGAAAAGAGTAAAAGGACGGTTCCGGTTGTTGAACCCTGAGGCCAATGTCAAGGTAACGTGACATGTTTCTCATACCTGAGGAGATTCTTTTGGAAGGAATCCAAGATTTATATTATGCTGTCTCACCGAGGATGGAATGATCATTCTTCGAATGAGTTATTTCTTGCAATGATAATGTTAACAAAGTGGATGGGTTTCTTCGCGAACGAATTTTCCGACTCTTTTCAAGTTTCTCGTCGATTCATGTCCGGATACAGATTAGAAGTCTTTTGAGAAAGGTGCATTGAAAATGGTGTTCAAAACGTTGTACTTTAGGGGGCACTGCAGTTCTCTGATGGTGTCTTAGAATTCAAGTGTGTAAGGTTTTTTTCTCTCTTCATGTACTTATTGAAATTAAAATTCCAGACTGGTAGTGAATGAAGGATGATGCGGAATTCGTATAGATGTGGGTTACTGCCATCCTGTGTAAATAATAATCGCATTACTATGCTGAAAATACAGCTGCTCTGTAAGTCAGGTGCTGTCTCTGGCAGGTGCTCCTGCTCAGAATAGGAACTGTTCGCACCATGAGTGAGCAAAATTTGTTATGAATTGAGCTTTTAAGAATCCATATAATATCCTCGAGTCCAGGTATTAAGCATATTTGTACATCTTTGCCAAGCAGCGTCATGAATAACTTGCGATATATGTCGGCAACCCTGTCAGACAACATGTCTGCCCGCTCTGGACGTGTGGGACCTAACGTATAGCCCACGTGCTTTATTGTTACCCAGATCTTCTGGATCATCTGTCCAAGTTTTACTTTCTTGTGAGCTGAGCTGTATTATGGAAGATGCTGACAAGATAATTATATCCACGCTAAAAGGTGTTGGATGGTGAGTTACTTTCAACTAAACGGTTGAAGGTAGTTGGCAGCTGAGGCTTATCCGGTTCTCATCGTTGTAAGCTTACCATGCTATTTTATGGCAAAACCCAGTAAACTTCGGATGGAATGTCTGGTTTTCGAATATAGTTCGTCATGTCACACCCATTTCCTCACTCCTTAGTTTATCCATCTTGAAAATTCTCTCCCCATCTTGTCTTCCTTGCTAGTGACAGATATTCTGGGGCATGATGGAATCGTGGAAGGGTAGGGGCGCTGAACTAACGATCTATGGCTAATTTCAATATTGCAGTCCAGTCACGGTTAAGTTGCAATTCAGTTCCAGTTTTCGTTTACCTGTAGTTCCAGTTGAGATTCTATGTGAGTAGTTGCTTAGACCACAGTGGAACTTAAGTCAGGCCATTGTCTGTACTGAAACGAGAACCGAACTGCAACAGAAATGCCATTCAAAAATCAGCTTATGACCTAAATTTACATTCTATAAGTATAGGCAATGCAGACAATGAAAGTAGATATATTCATGCTGTGCTGAATCAATCTGCTTACAATTTCTTCCTAGAGGTTGTTGAACAAAGGCAATGAAGAGAGAATAAAGATTTTCTTAAATAACTTAGAAGTCTATTGTTTCAATGAATTAGTTGATGACAACTTGAATGAGGGAAAGCAAGAGGACAATAAAGTCAGAGACTGCTGAACCATTCTGAAAACAGCTTGTGCAAGTGAAGATTATTTGAATGCAAGAGCTGCCCAGCAACTGGTTATTTGAAAGCACTCATGGATTTGAGAAATTTTAAGGTGAAACTAAGCTGTGAGGTTGGCTTTTATCTCCTATAGTATAATGCAAATCAATTGCACATTCTTTTTTCTGCAGTGAGTTGGATGATGATGTAGAGTCCTTACGTGCATTCACATCTGAAAATGTGGTGGAAGGAGTGGTTTGCTCCCTCCATGCTCTTGGGAGCATGGAACATACTTCCAAGCATTTACCACCAAGCATGTCAGCAAGATTCCGTATTGGAGCAGCCATTGCAGAAGAACTTAAGGTAAGCTTTAGACCAGTCTTACTGAGGGGCAGCCATAGTCAATGTAGCCAAGACCAAGTAAGACTATTTGTAATGCAGCAGTAAAAGTGCTTTAAGTTGTGTGTACTATATAGACCTTGTCTCATTGGGATCTCTTTTGTGCCCATAGACTCTAGGATATCCAGGAGACATTGGCTATCAGACCCTCTTGTATTCATCTGAGAATGAATTGAGGAAGATCTTCACATTTCTGCTGGGAAAACTTTCAAAGGCTCAAGAAACATCTGGACCAGTTGCTAGTGAGTGCTGATAATTACTTGTTGCTTTTTCACATTGAGTCCTTCCTAAGCATAAGCACAGGAATATTTTGCAAAGTGCGGGAGAGGAGACAGGGGCAAAATGTCCCAAAAACAGCCAGAAGGGAGAAATACTATGCTTAGAAGGAAGACTGACACAGAATGAATGCACTAAATGAAACTAGTTTCATTTGGTAGGGATATGCATCTAGTAGAAAAAGTGTGTGGAAGGATATGAGGGTACCTTTTCTCCCTCACCTAAAATTAGGGTAGAATTTGTCCCCCCCCCCCCTCCTCCCACCTTATACACTTCTTCATAGGTACCAGTTTTTATTTATTTTTTAATATGCGTTGTCTTTCATATTTGTTTCCAGAGTCATCAGAGGACTGGTGGAGAAGTCGCTTGCAAAGAAAGCTTCAAGAGGACATTAAGCGACCTTGGGTTCCATACTATTGCTATAGAGAAATTCCACAGTCCACACCAATCCAGACTTCCCCTCTGTCTTGGCCTACAGGTAAGCCCTTCATGCATCACTTTGACTGAAACCTCTGTGAGAGATGGTTTATCAGATGATTTTAGGTGTCTCAGATAGCAAGAAGGAGCAGGTACAATGTTGGTTTTGAAAAATGATTTTCTGAATGTGTTATACATGTAAATTTTTTGGAAGAAAAGTCAAATCATACCAGCATATGTACTAAATTTGTCTGGGAACATCCTTAAAAAATACACTGGAATTCAATTCTCAAAGTGGGCCATGATTCTTGTGATGTTATAGTCAGCAAATCCAGGCGATGTTATGGATTTGAAGAGCAAGTACCAGATCACCACACCAAAGTGCTCTTTGCATCAATCATATCAAGCAATTCTTGTTGGCTTGTTGAAGATAAAATGCCCAATGCAACTAAGAAGCCAAGGTTACAAACCCCAGCTGATCTCCTGACAAGAGAGATAGCATCTGGTGGCAAAGAACTTGAGCACCTGATGGAGAAAATCAAACACCAACAAGGAGAAGAAATATCTTCTAAAATAATGGATCTTAAACTTGAACAAAAGCCAAACAATAAACTACAGGTATGTTTGGGCTTGCTTGTGACCTTTCCATGATGTGGACATTTTCATGAAATCCCTAATAGTAAATCTTTCTTGTAAGTAAACTGTTAAACTGTAAGGTACCAGAAGGAAGTCTCTAGCAGTTACTAATGTATTTTTTCATTTGTAGTTAGGAGATTTTGAAATATTCTTTCCTGGCCCTACTTGGGAGGTAGGCAAGAAATAACTCATGCTTCTATTTGTTTTTCCACCTCAGGCAGTGGAGAATGAGGTGTTGCAAGAGAGCCATTCACCAAAAGATGGAAGGCAGGTGGGAGAAGAAGAAGAATTAGAAGCTCTAAAAGAAATGGCTGAGAAGTTGAAGGCCCAAGTTCAGAAACTAGAAGCAGACACCAACAAAATTCAAGCCAAAGTTGCTCAGGTATGTTTTTTCTTGTTCTAGAAGGTCAGTGGAAACTGAGCTTTCCTTGTAATTAAGATGCAAAACTTCCCTCAAGGAACTGTACCATTCTGTAATCAGGAGTATCAAGAATAAAATTAATAGTAAAGTTGACTTTTTTTAAGTATTCATTTGTGAACAGTTTCATAATTGTCACATTTGAAATTGAATATTTTGTAATTTCTTTATGTTTCTGGATTCTTGGTTGATTTCAGAATTTGTTACTTCAAAAATATATTCATCATTTGTGACATTATATAGGCAGAGGAGGTAATAAAGTCACAAGAAGAGGAGAACAAGAAGGAGAAAGGCAAATTGGACTTGTGTCAAAAGCTGGTGAGTGCAATGGGAGGGCAGGATGTGATTCAAATGATCTGGGAAGGGGAGGCAAGACTTAAGTCTCTCCACTCTCAATGGGAAGCACGTAGGGTCCCTCTTGAAGAGAAACAACAGCAGCTGAGGCAGCAGTCTTCAATGAAATTGGTCAGTCTCCTGTTTTTCTGACCCAGGCTTATTTTCCCACAAAAAAAAAAAAGAATTTAAGGTCATATTTTCTCTCGTTCAGTCATCAAGGGAAAACTGCTTAGATGAACTAGAGAATCTGAAGGAGCTAGAGAGAAATCTCATCCAGGATTCAGTGGTCAAGGATCATCAGGCTAAAAATTTACAAGTTGAAATGGCCAAGATAAGTCGTGACATCAACAGGTAAGCATTCTCTGCCAATGCAGAGAGGAAAAGTGTGGTTTTTTTATTACTTGCCTTACTTTGGTGATCCAGGTCTCAGTACACCAAGCGTATCCTGGAGATCGTGGCCAGCATCAAGAAGCAAGAGGAGGAGATCTTGAAGGTCCTTGATGACACCAAGATGGTTCAAAAGGATATAAATCGACTTCAGGGGACATTGGAACGCTCTTTTGCTGTGGCCGATGAACTCATCTTTCGCGTAAGAATTATTATCTTGAGAGTTAAACTTGGGGCTATCATGCGTGGTAGGTGTTTCACTGAATTCCATATTCTGGATGGAACAGGATGCCAAGAAGGATGAGAGTGTAAGGAAAGCATACAAGCACTTGGCTGCTCTGCATGAATGCTGTGATCAACTCATCTCCACCGTCCAAGAAATTGGCAATGTTATGAGAGAAATTCGAGACCTAGAAGACCAGGTCAGTTCAACAAACCCCTGCATACTTGATCTTTCTGGATGAGTTCAATATCCCAGCAAATATTTTTTTCTGAGACACAATCTTTGCCTCTCTACAGATGGAGCAAGAGTCTGAGCACAATTGGGAAGAACGTCTGGAGACCATCACGAATGATCTCAAACAGATCAAAGCAGAGAATGCCACCCTTCAGTCCAAACCAAAACAGTCTACATGACATTATTTAGAGCATAGCTTGGTCATGTGTGATACTTTTGACACTTGCTGCTGAGTTCCAGCTTGGCTTCTAATTAGTTTAGCACAAGTCAGCAAGTCATAAGAGTTAATCTTTACCATATGAAAACCATATGAGTGGGAAGACTCTCGTCATTGCTGTTGGTTTGAGCCAACAATGTTTTCCCAACAAAAAACATATTGTTCAGATTCCATATTTTGGCTAAAAGTCCAGATCACAAAACCATGATGAGATTTACCTCATCATTAATGATTCACCCTTTGGTGTTGCAAAATAAGACATATCCTCTTGCATCTTGTGTCCAGATTCTGGACATTAGGATTATGATGTGTTTTTCAATATTTATTCATTTGGAGGAGAAAAACCAGTTTTCAATAAGTATGGACATCCAAAGGAAGATGAACCACTGGCATTAAATTTGAATAAACCATTCAAAGTGGTGCAGCCAATATTTAAAAAAAAATTATATTAATGGGAAAATGCTTGGGATTGAAGAGGATTCGCTGTTGCTTTCTAGTTAGAATTGTTACAGCAAGAGATCATCCAGTTTTGAAACCAAAAATTTGTAATACTAGACACTTTGGAATTCCTTTGGACTCTGTCAACCGGGACTGCACTTTCATTGAAATTTTCAATGTCTATGTGTCTTCCATTTCTTCTGAAACTTTTCCCTCTGTGATGAGACAAATATTAGTGCCATTCCAATGGTATGTGCCTTGAGTGTTTACCATAAATTCCAAATGTCAATTCTTCCTTGATCTCTGTGCCCGAGTGCTTTCTAAGAGAAAGCTAGTCCAACTTATTGTGGAATTGAATTGATGAGGAGCTGCTTTTTGATTACTCTGCTCATTGATCATGAAGAATCTCCCAAGCTTCATGAATGAGCACTGCCTCATTGTGCTCTTTTTTTCTGTTCTTCATTCCATCGTTCTACCATCTCGTGAGTATTGTAGCTTCAATTATTTCCATTGACCTTTGGAAACAGGCAGATGTTCCTCTCACGAGTGGCAATTCAGAAGAACATTATGAAACATGCCATTTGCCACTTCCCATGGATTAAGTAATGAACTTCCAGGAAAATACTTGGCACCTACTGGAAACTTCATCTAGTTTCATGACTCACCCACCTTGTATTTCTTCAGAACTGGGGCTGCAAAATGGTCAGAATCGAAACCAAGGAAATGGTTTCCAAGTCCTTGATTGATAAGTGGTTATGTCTCAACAGGTGAAAGGTGAGGACTGTAAAAAAAAAAAAAAAAAGTATTATTATTCCAAAAATTTGCTTTAGCGATGCGGGAAAGGCTTCAGCATATGCTAGTTCGTGATTGCTGCCCAGACATTTTCATAAGTTTTGCTACCATACTATCTGAAAAAAAGTGACTTCTTTTGAAAATACTGCTATTGCATTTCGTGGATTTCCTCATATGAAGTGATATTTTGTCTCCATTATAGAGTCTATGGCAATAAAAAATTACGCATTAAAATGGGACAAATGATTCCGTCGCCTTCAAACCGTCGGCGGTTCATGGATCGAGTGAGACTCATTTCTTTCTCTATTAAATTTCCGATGCGTGTTTGCAGATCTTCGTGCCAAGGGTTCAGTTATATATTTTTCGATTTGATTTTGATACAATTTTTCGAAATTCGGTATTACAATGCAGCAATATGACAATGCACCTGTTTTAATTTCACGAATTTTGCGAGATACAAACAATTGTGAAATCAAATAGGCGATAACATTTCTCGCCACCCAGTATACGGGATGATACGGATAGCGAAATTGAAGATTGACGAAATTAAAAAAGCCAAAATGCAAGATTTTGCGAAATATTGTCGTTGCACCGTACTCAAAACGGCCCTATAATGCAGACGATAGCCGTTTCGAAGACCAGTAACTGTCTCCGACATGCGAGCGTTTCCTGCGTTCGTTCGCAAGAGTGCACTCGTGGCCGTGCATCGAGGATGCGCGAGATGAGGAAGCGGGCAGCGCATTCCTGCCGTCGCACGTTTCGTTTCCCGGAGAGAGTGCGACGAGATGAAACGGATGTCGCGTTGCGATAGAGGTTTGGGTCGAACGGGATGGGTGCAACTGTGGGATGCCATAGTTTCCGATCCCTTTCGATCGTTGCATAGGGGGTGTAAAGCAGCGAGGACCACGAGTTTCGACGGGAAAGTATCGAAGTAGGTCGGGACAGAAATGGTTCGTTCGCTGGGCTATCTCCGATGGGGGAGGAGGGCTTCACGCGGGATCTCGATACGGAGAGCCACTTCACGTTCCGACCTTGAACGTTGAGGGCAGCTGGCCCTCGGAGAAGTGATTTTCGAGGAGGCGTTCGCTCGTTGAAAGCGGGCTGTCTCCAGGCAACACCGGTTTGGTCCCTTTTGGACTTTCTTCCGGAGCGGCTCCGAAGGCCTCGGACTCGCTTTCGAGTCGAGTGGATTCCTCGGGATGAAAGAAGCCGGTTTCAAGAGAAGCCACCTAAAGATACGGGACATACCGTGCCTTTCTCGGAGGGGGGGCATTTCGAAACTCGTGCGCATCAAAATAGGGTTTATTGGAGAACGTCAGATTGTAAGAATGTAGAAGTACTAAACCACTGTTCCGTAAGACTTTCGTCTGAATCGGCGTATTATTGTTTTCTGTGCAAATGCGATTGGTGATTAGTGTTTGTAAATACAGAATGCGTGGATCTTCTCTGGGATACCCGGAAAATTTATTCCTGACTGAAGTCTCTTACAGAAAGAATATTTTAAAAATTGTGTCGCACAATGATTCGAGGCCACGAGGTGAAAGTGCAAATCGGGACGTAGATAATTACGAGGTAACAGCATCACCATCTCGTGAAACGGTCGCGTCATTCTTACGGCTGCCCCCCGGGCGATTCTCGTCATCTCTGCAGGTGACGATGCGGACACTAGCGACTACAGGAGAGGCTACAGCATGGGGGTCAAGCTCATGAAGAAGGAAGGGCGGACGTCGAGACGCAGAGGGAGGGGACGCGGCTGGGGTCGACCGAGGGGAGGTGGCGTCTTTCGCCTGGGGAGAACTCTGCGACGCATCTCGGGTTGAGTTCGTTGCTGTTGGGATTCTGTACGAGTCATCTCGAGCTCTGGAACAGCTTCGTGTTCTGATAAATGTAGCATCATCCTTATTGGGTGTAAATACTTGTATCGCGTTTTTCCCTCCATCATTCTTGCCGGTGCACGATGCACCTGTCATACGTGCAGATAAAAACCGATGAGGTTGTTAATCTCCGAGAGCATGGGTAGCAGAGGCCCGTGAGCTGCACGAGAACAATCGTCTCACTCGATTAGCAAACGACTGGAGGGGGCCCCAATCAGCTGCTGCTTCACGTCTACCCTTTTAAGAGACCGCGAACTCCCCGGCCCAATGCTGTAAGTGCTTAACAGTAAAGCACGGGACTCCGCCATTGGGAAGATCAATTCATTATGTACAAAGATATGCCGTGCATTATTGTTTCCCCTGAAATAAAAGTCTGTCTCAAACTTCACATCTTTTCTTTTGACAAAATATATTGGGATTCCCGCATCGAAACGAGGCTAAGTGCACTCAACCTCTCTCCAATCAACTAAAAAACTATTTGCTCAACAAAACATGACCCCAAGAAATCTGAAGGCAAGTCAGTTTTGCTCACCTAATTAACAGCCAACACGTATCATTTTGAAATAAGATCCTTTACATAACACAGTACATAGGGTAAACACCCGTTTTTGATACGACTCCCAAAGGAAGTGGACACACACTGCGCACACCGAGAAACATTAGTAATAGGTCCTCATACAGGAAGATGTTGATAAAATGCTTGAAAACGGCCAGATTAATTATGCTGGATTTAAGACTCATTGGCCAAACATCTGAAGATTGGGGTTCTCACCCAATCTTCTAAAAGAAAATCCTGTCGTCCCTACTTCTGCTGAAGGTAGAACACCTCCCAAGCTGCTAATTTCGAAAAGATGATCAACTGAGTTGAGCCTAAAAACCTGGCCACCTGAGAAAGAATTCGACAAAATTATCAACTCAGTGGCAGGCTTTGAACAGCACTAGAGCCACCCTCCTTCACAGAGCTTGTTTCATGAGCAACTTAATTGGAACTTATCCCCCGCATGCTTTGTAAACCAGAAGTAAATTACAAATTCCATGTGGGGTGTTGTACAGAACAAGTTCACCACTAACTCAAATGGGAGCTATGGGTGCCAGTGGTGGATCCAAAGGGAGGCGGCAGGGGGGGGGCGGCAACCAGAACTTTCAAATAAAGCAATGTAGGAATAAACTTTCTACCATTTTACAATTCTGAACTCTAACAAATTTTTTTACAGTCACTACCCCTCCAAGTCCATGAGTCCACATGTGATTGAATGAACTCCACACCATCATGAACAAAACAGTCCTCAAATGACAATCATTTCACCTGTTTGAGATGCGAAGCCTTGAAACAGCACTATGCCAATTTTTGGGAAATATCCTCAGATATTCTAAATGTTTCTGCTCACTTGTGGGCTTTGTGGTAAACCCACAGTATTCAGAGGGTGATGTATCCATCTTTTCTCACACTAGAGTATGCAGACAGCATTTAATGAAACAAAGGCTATGAAAATTCCTGGGAATTTTGGAAGCAAAGATGTATCAACTGAAATCAAATCAACAAGGCATCCTCAAGCTTTATTTTTCAGATAATCCATGAGGAAGTCATGGGCAGCACTCTCCTTCCCCCAGTCCTGTAAGAAAAAAAGGCAAAGTTGCAAATCACAACCATTCATTCAGTTATATATATATATATATAGTTTGTAAATCCAATCATGTCACAAATGCAGTGTTATTTTGAATGGCTGATTAACAATAATTGATATAAAAAGAACTAATAATGAGGTAAATAGATACCCAAACCTCCCAATAAACATTGTACCCAGGCTAGGCAAAAAAGGAAAAGGAATTGACATTTGGAACAGAGAAAAATCAGTGGCATAATAGCAATAAGATTTCCTTGGATTGAGATACCCCAAACAAGAACAAATAATTTATCGAAATACAAGTCTTCCCACCAGAATGACTCACCTTCACCACAACACAGCTGCAGCCGACGACTTTTCTTGCCTTGCCATCCTTATCGATCTTACAAAGGCCAGACCACTCTCCAAGCTTCTTGTTGCTGTCTACAGTGATCAATGGGATGTGATGTTCTTGACACAAGGCCTGGACAAGTTTCTTGTACTGCGGTTCGTCACAATTGTCCGCCAGGATGCACAACAGTGCCTTACGCCTGGAGAAAAAAAAAAGAATAAAATCGTACTTTTACCCCATAACACCTTCTTCTTATGCATATAAAACTGAAAGCAAATTTTCATGAGGATAAAAACCTGTACTTCAACTATGCACCATTGGTGGAAATTGGAAATCAAGTTGGGCTAGAAAACAGATTGGGGAGCATGGGCTCTCCAATCCTTGCTTCATGGGCCTGGAATCCAGGCTCCAGGTCCATGCCTAACAAGGATTGGTTACAACAAAACTGACTGAATGAATCAGAAAGCACAAGCTGAACAATATGGGCACAAGCAAAATTCTTATGCTTGAGGCTTTTGGCCACACATTTGATAAACTCAAGTTTGCCTATGCTTCAAAATTCAGGGTGTTTGGAAAGTAACTCCCTATTTTATAATTGCAATAACTTTTTCAGTTTTTGGACTGGAACCCCATTGTTTGTGCCAAAAGAACAAGAATTCAATGGGGTTTTATGATTTCATTGATTTGTTGGTTTGCATTGATCCTCCATGGTGTCAAAATTAAATCTTCAACACCATGCACAAGTAGCTGCATGGTATGTGTGGAGGTGGAGGTGGTTAGGAGTTGCATCCAAGCCATTCTCCTTCCACCATCACTTCTGGTTCATAATGGAGGACCTCCCTACCTCATATTGTGCAGCTACTTGTGCATGGTGTTGAAGATTTAATTTTGACACCATGGGGGATCAATGTAAACCAACAAATCAATGAAATAAAAAAACTCCATTGAATTCTTGTTCTTTTGGCACAAACAATGAGGCTCCAGTCCAAAAAGTGAAAGAGTTACTGCAATTATAAAATAGGAAGTTACTTTCCAAACACCCTGTAGATATGTTCATACCTAAGTCCAAAATCAAGGAAAATCCAGCATCTATACAATCCTTTCCTTGAATGAGAGACTTCTAAGAGAGATTCTTGTACAATAGATACTTTGACTGAGACTGGCTATGAAAGCAAAATGAATGAGTAATGATTGGCATGCTGCCTCTGCTTTCTCAGCAAGCACCAGCAATGGGTTCAGAACCAAATAAATTTCAAGCAAAAAATTAAAAGCATGCTCTTAGATCATCATAAATACTATGCTTCTGCAAAGAAAGCAGCTGTAACCACTACTTAGGCATCAAACAAAAAATTAAATAATGTGTGGAAGCTTCCTAAGCAAACGTACTTGTCAAGTGCCTTGGCAGCCTCCCGTAGACCACGAGCAATACCATCCTGAGTGAGTGCTTGCTTCAACACCTCCTGAATTGCAGTATTGATGTCCATCGCACCTCCCATAGAAGCGCCAGGGATATCATCTCTGACAAAATATGAAACATGAAAATAATAGCCAGTCAAGCAACTTGATAAGTTAAAAAAAGATAAAGAAATAATCCAAGGCAGACTGAGATGAGTTTGTGAAAGTGTACAGTATAAAAAAAAAAAAAAGATGGTATCTAGAATTCTCTTAAAATAACATGGATGAAAAACTTCATTTTCTTGAACACTGTAGACAGCAACAAGAAGCTTGGAGAGTGGTCTGGCCTTTGTAAGATCGATAAGGATGGCAAGGCAAGAAAAGTCGTCGGCTGCAGCTGTGTTGTGGTGAAGGTGAGTCATTCTGGTGGGAAGTACAGAACCACTGGACTACTTCAGTCTATACATTTGATTCTCACTTAGGATATTCAACACAAAAGAAATTTTACATATACATTCTTGCATGTACAGAAGTACAAGTGTGTCAAACCAATGATGCTGCCCACTAAAAAAACAAGCAAGTTTACCTTCTACTGCTAACCTTCAGTGTAGATGTAAGACACTTTCAAACAAAAAGCCTTTTTTTTTTTACCTTCAAACCATGGTGACTTGTTGAAGCCCCTTTTCCAGCTTTTTATCTTAATAGTTAAATTTAAAAAAAAGTGAAGAGTCCAGCTGTAAGTAATGCTTATGACAGTTATATTTAAGTCTACTTTAATAGCACCTACCTTATCATTTAAACTTACTAATTGTTGGTCCACAGAGACACTGAAAGGCCTAGTAATTAGTGCACATAAAGATACTCTGCTCTATTACTAACCCATTGGCTGTCCATCTCTCTTTCAGATTACAAGGTTGATCAAGGCATGGTCAACACACTTTCACAAAAGGCAATAACAAAAGGCTAAAAATCAGTCATACATATTAGCAAGTTCCATACCATGCTGCCAGATGAGTTAAACTAATCAGCAAATGATTTTCCTTTGAATCATTAAAAAGTCAAGGGGTGGATTGCATGAAACTGACCTTAGCGCAATGAAGCTTTAATCCTTTGGCTGATTGCCCAAGTACATACTCAGGCTTATGCAGTGGTAGCATGGGTATGTTCTCAGGCACAGAGAATTCACTGTTTCTAGGTTATTTCACAGCTACTTATGCATGTACACAGAACACAAGAACTTTTGAGACACCCTAGTAGTTAGATGAAATTATCTTACATAAACTATTGTTTTTAAATCAGCAGGGCCAATTTTTATATGAAAACATATCAGCCATCCCCCCTGTGTTATAATAGTCAAAAGGTTAAACTTCTATTAGCACCACTAAAGGAGGTTAAAAGCTTCAGTGCACTAAAGTCAGTTTTAAGCAATCCACCCAAGGTTTCCAATCTTTGAGCATCACTTGCTATTCACACAAGTCCATGGCTCCCAAACTCTGATCATGCGAGCTCATACTTCTCAGCGGACTAGGATGCAGCACTCTCAAATGAGAAAATGATAGAGTTAAGATAAATGATCACTGGCAAACTCCAATAAGGGAAGAGTCTGATGAAATGTAAAAGTAATCCTCCCACATCACATACTGAACACTAATTTTTGCAAATAAAGTCAATAAGGCAACTTTATTTCACATGAAAAGCAATGGTTCTTGGATTTATATGGGCTCTCCTGCTATGGCGGCAGCCATACTGATTCAGGAAACTGGCAGTAGTTTCACACATCTCTCGCCATTTGCCAATGTCTCAATGACAAGACTCGTGCTGACCGTTCCTAACAGCTTTCTTGGCGTTTCTATAAACACAAAACGGTCCCCCTAACCCTAACTATGCTGACTTCCCATGTTCAAACACGAACCCTCACTCTGATCCCCATTCTCTGTATTCATCTGCCCCATGCATGCACTCCATCGTTGCCTCTGTAGGCCTCCATACATTTCTATAGTACCCACTCAAAAAATTATTATTCCACCCATAATAGTGACTCCAAGTCATCCATGCCAGCAAGTTGCCTTGAGCAAGAAGTAACCTTTCATTCTAAACCAAAACTAAGTTTGAACACCAAGGAAAACGTAACCTGTGATCATTGACCTTAGCCAAATTATAGAATTTTATTTTGTTCCAAGAGAGTAGCTACTCAATGGTCCAATATTCAGATGATGAAAAGATTACAGAAGTCACTGAGGCAGGACCATCACCTTTGCCCATAACTTTGCAGTACATGGAAACCCATTCATAGGAAATACCGTCTTATAAACCATGGTGGTTGACCTTTTACCTGCAACATGCCCATGAAAAGGCCACATAGCTGTCGCTCATAAATGCAACATCCCTCAAATAAGACCTGACCTCAGTGGGCCATAAATGCGATGTGTCTGGCCGGCAGGGCTTAACAAAGTCGACGGATCATTGCCAGACGTTTGTTGTATGATTATCACCAAGTGCTGGACTGATAATGTTGCACATGACGTTCAAGTAACAACGCTAGATTGAACACCGTAGGCCTAGGTTCAGGACTTAATGTAGCTACACAGACCGTCAACTCAAATCTTTCATTTTACGATGATGACGATTAAGAGGCTCCTGGAGAATCTCAGCCTGCCTTGGGCTTGTCACATTCGTGAGAAGAGCTCGATGGAAACGAATTTGGAATTCTTACCCTTCCACATCAGACATGTTGAGAGCTGAAGGGAGTTCCTCCTGAAAAATGAAAGAACAGAATTAGTAGTATCATTTCATGATTATTTCAAATGGATTTACAATTGATAACCTATAATAAAAGAGGATTATTCCAGCACCACTTACAATGATTCCCAGACATTCGCCAGAGAACACACCAAGAGGAAGTGACCGGTCAGGGTTGCCGCAGCGTTGGTGGCAGTTCCTCACAGCTGGGTTATCAACTAAAAAAAAAAAAAAACTTTTTTTTTAGTATCCTGAAAACTTCCCTCCAGAAGAAAAAAGAAATAATAATATGACCTTCACTTTATGCATTGAACGGCTCATGTTCATGCGCCAGTCCAATAATTGATCAACGTGTATCGCTGTCAATGCAACCATATGGTGTGGGGCCCAATACGTGGTGTTAGCTCTGCAGTGTCCCGCGGGCTAACGGTGATGCAACGCATGGCCACGTCGGACTAATTGGGGCCAATGCCTATGCCACCTTTATGCTACATTGCGCTTATCGTAGTCCAACTTTAATGCAATCATCTCCAAAATTTGCGGCTTAAAGAAAAAAAGCCAGAATTCCTCCGTTAGAGGACCCTTATCTCGTTGTATCTCTCATATCCACCATATTAACGCTAGAACCCTGGAGAGCCCCGGATCCGCCTGAATAAGAAAGATACCAGCCCAAAATAATTGCATTAGGAAATGAAACTGAAATAGTTATTTATACTACTACCAGTCTTGTGATTATTAAATACTCTCTGAAAATATTGATTTCACGTCAGTAGTAAAACTATTTCTAACAAATTTGCTACCAGACCGACTAGAACAGAACTCCCTTACGTTGAAAGTTGTCTGACGCAGCACCATCCACACAGATGAGGATTATTTGTACTGCTTAGTCAAACCTCAAGCTGGTCTTAGTTACTTTTTTAATACCTATTTATTTAATATCCAAGAGCTTCAGCTCGACGCCCGGGAGATGGAGACTTCAGACTCAACAAAACAACTCTCATTTTGTAACTGAACGCTGAAATATTGCTGAATTGTTACATTAATGATTCTCAAGGCGATACGTATCGTGCAACATCGTCTAGTGAAGACGACGCGAAAAAAAAAATCGGGCTAGTCAGCGCGCTGATATTTTGTTGGGTGATTCATGGACTCATTTGGGAAGAAGAAAGCCGCGCATGGTTTACCGAGGTTGAATGATACTTTATTTTCAGTTGACCTAGCAGCAAGGCGGTTATATATCACTCTGAAAGCAACATCCATTAGCTGAAGGGCCCGAGGAAAAGGAAGGAGATGCTCGGGGTCTCCCTTTTCAAGCACTCAGGCGAGATGACTGTGGAGATGAGAGTCGAGGGTGGCTTGCATCCAAGAATGGCTTGCATCGAAGGGTGGCTTGCATCCAAAGGCGACTAGCATTCGGGGGTGACTAGCATCAGGAACTCTAAAAATAATCCTTTCATTTCTGTTTCATGTAAACAGCAGGCTCCAAGCCTCATGATTAACCGAATTAAAAAAAAACGCAATTCTAGCAGTTCCACCTGCTAGATAGATTTTCAAAATCTGAGAAATTGAAACGCAGTCATATGGGTCTATGACCAGATGGAAGATCCCAGTTGGATTTGAAGGAAAAGATCGTCAGATGAGGCGCCAATCCGTTATCAGAGCAGCCATCGCATTTTCCTATCATCTCAAACCCAATCACCACGAACATCATCACTCGAGGCTTCTTCCATTAGTCATTAAGGTGGCATGACCGATGGCACCAGCGCATGAGAGATGCTCAGTCTCGACCCCAGCTTCCTGGCTAACATCACGGGGAAACAAATACGGCATGTACGTCATTCTGACATAAGAGGTTATGACCCGAATGTTTAGAAAAGAAAGTGTTGAACCATGCTACCCACATGGAAGCACAACACGTAATACGGATACTAGATGGGGCAAACGATCGAGACATAACGGCTGAAAAGAATCATGGACTCCGGACGCAAACTTCTTCACGTGACACCCTCGCTGAAGGACGGAAAATTCACTTCTCCCGCAATATTCCATATTCCGATTCCATATTTTTTACTGAATCGGTGGAGAAAGCCCAAGGAAAGACGAGTTAGGCTTGGCGGTCCTCGGCTACGAGCCTCGCTTCCTGTCTCGTTTTTCCTTCCTTGTCAAAAGCAATACACATTCGCTCGTTCATCCGTGGGTTCCTTTGGTGTCGGAAACGTGAGGTCACGAGACATCGGCGAGACAGAGGAGGGGAATGAGACGCGTGCCGGCTGAAATGCGAGGAGAGACTGAAACTTCTCACGGGGGGAAAGGTCGTTCATCCTTGAGAGTCACTTTCTTCCATCCTTGAGAATCCTTTCTTCCCTCCCTCTGGCCTGAGGGGAGAAAACTTGTCCCAACCCCGTATAATAGACCTCGGTTCCCTATCTGCTTGGTTCAGTCTATTGTTGCAGTCGTATTCGCATTGTGGTTTTGAGGTCTCCCCCTGTTTTCGAGTGACTCCTCAGCTGTTTTCTTTGGCTTTTAGAGGCCTTCGGCGGCCTCGAGGAAGGTACAGGTCGGCGTTTCACATCGCAGAATCAGCTGAGTGGTGTGCATCCTAAGTCTCTTGTGAGCAAATTCTGCTACTTCGCTTCGAGAAAGTCTTCGATTCGCAATCGACTCTCATTGGAATTATTAGCTTGCACTAAAGCACCACATACTCAAAATGGTAAGATTGGCCTAGACGCTGACCGATGAGCGTGATTTTTTTTTTTTTTATCTCGTACACGATGGACTTCTAAATCTTATTAGAGGTCGATGTTTAGACAGCCGTATGTGCGTTTATCCTCTCGTAGCGTGAGTGTATCTCCATCCACGTGGGGCAAGCCGGGGTGCAGATCGGCAATGCCTGTTGGGAACTGTACTGTCTGGAGCACGGGATCCAACCCGACGGGCAGATGCCCTCGAGCGCCACCCTGGGGGGACGAGAGGACTCCTTCAGCACGTTCTTCAGCGAGACGGGAGCGGGGAAGCACGTGCCTCGGGCCATCTTCGTGGACTTAGAGTCCACCGTCGTGGACGAAGTCCGGACGGGTACCTACCGCCAGCTCTTCCATCCCGAGCAGCTCATGACGGGAAAGGAGGACGCGGCAAATAACTACGCCAGGGGGCATTACACCGTCGGCAAGGAGATCGTGGATCCCGTGCTCGACCGGATCCGGAAGTTGGCTGACCAGTGCACCGGTCTCCAGGGTTTCCTCATCTTCCGATCCTTTGGGGGTGGTACCGGGTCCGGGTTCGCTTCTCTCCTCATGGAGCGCCTCTCCCTTGACTACGGAAAGAAATCAAAATTGGAATTTTCCATCTACCCTGCTCCCCAGGTTGGTTCCATTCGCCATTTGTCCAATATTTATGCCGACGGACTGGAACACGATCAGGTTCTGACAGTCGAATGTACTTTCAGGTATCCACGGCCGTCGTGGAACCGTACAATTCCATACTGACGACACACACGACACTAGAGCACTCGGACTGTGCCTTCATGGTGGACAACGAGGCCATCTACGACATCTGCCGGCGGAACCTGGACATCGAGCGACCGAGCTACGCCAACCTGAACCGACTGATCGCCCAGGTCGTGTCCAGCATCACCGCTTCCCTCCGCTTCGACGGGGCCCTGAACGTGGACCTCACGGAGTTCCAGACCAACTTGGTCCCGTATCCCCGAATCCACTTCCCCTTGGCCACATACGCCCCCATCATTTCGGCGGCGAAGGCCTACCACGAACAGCTCTCCGTCTCCGAAATCACCAATGCCTGCTTTGAGCCGGCCAATCAGATGGTGAAGTGTGACCCCCGACACGGTAGGAGCCCTGTTCCATGTTTCATTTCAGTTTTAGGAAAATTCCCAGCAGGAAGGAGTTAAAATTACATGAGTAATTTCAACTCCTTCCACACAAATACAGCCTAAAATTAGAGGTGCATGTCGTAACCCTTATTGGCACTTCTCCTTGTTCCGAGACTCTCGCGGCCACCTTGAGATTCTAGCTCTGAACAAAGTTACCAGATATCATCACGATTGACCGGGAATTTATTCATTATGTCCCTCGCAGGAAAGTACATGGCATGCTGCATGCTCTACCGAGGCGACGTGGTCCCGAAGGACGTGAACGCAGCCATAGCAGCCATCAAGACCAAACGAACGATCCAGTTCGTGGACTGGTGCCCGACCGGATTCAAGGTGGGCATCAACTACCAGCCCCCGACCGTCGTCCCCGGCGGGGACCTGGCCAAGGTGCACCGGGCAGTGTGCATGCTGAGCAACACGACCGCCATCGCTGAGGCCTGGGCGAGACTGGATCACAAGTTCGATCTCATGTACGCCAAGAGAGCTTTCGTCCATTGGTACGTGGGGGAGGGGATGGAGGAGGGAGAGTTCTCGGAGGCTCGGGAAGACCTCGCCGCCCTGGAGAAGGACTACGAAGAGGTTGGCGTGGACTCCAATCAAGAAGGCGAAGAGGCTCTGGAGGAGTACTAAGGGCGGTGCGCTTCGGTGGTCTCCGGCCTGTTTATCTCTTGTTATTTATGCTGCGATTGTTTATTTTAGGCTCGTATTGGACTTTATTCACACTCCCCCCCCCTTGATAGGTTCGTTTGTCATTTTCCTTTCTAAGAATGAAGCCTCGTGACAATAGCAAATCTCGTGTGATGGTTGGAAATGGACTGGGAACTGAAGAGGCTTGGCCGTGGGAATCTGCACTCGAGTGCATTTGGTTCACAAGCGGAAATGTGAACCGATTCGCAGAATCCTATGTTATAAATATCAATCGACCAAACCATGTACGGACGTGATATTTGGAATACGTTTCTGTGGGCCGTCAAGACTTCCTGGCCTGGTTCTTCAGCGATTCAGACCTGAATCCATGATAACTTTACAGTGAAATTGACAGTGATCCTGACAGCTGTCTGTGTGAACCTCGGTCGTTGGCAGACATTTTCAGTCATAGGCTGTCAGAAATCCATACTTTAAGGATCATGCTAAGGATATAATTCGAGAATTGTTATACTCCTGATTCAAGAAATACGTCTTCGGGTAATGTGATTAAGGGTGACATGCACCACATCGGTTTAGGAGCTAAACTGATCTTATTCCAGGCAAATACGTTTAAGAATGAGTTGAACTCGTCGCGGAACTGAATTGTGGGTGACACGCACCGGATCCGTTTAAGCTAAACTAATCTGATCTCAAACTGATTCCTATAGGGGACCATTGTAACAAACTTATTCCCATAGGCGTCCATTATGAAAACGAATCAGTTTAAAGTTAAACGAATCTGATGCATGTCATAGGGTGACATGCACCAAATGCAATCAGTTTATTTCTCTCCTAAACTAATCTCAAAGATAAACCTGTTCCGTAGCAGGTTTAACTCCCTGAACGGATTCTCGGAGGTAGTTCAGTAGGCTGTTGTGCCGGAGTGGGCCTCATTTTTTCTTCTAGAGACGGTGGAAATAAAAACTAATGAAGGGATACAAGTTTTTGACGTGATCCTGCACCAAACTACCAAGAGATCTATCAGACCGGCTCGATCCTCTTGAATGCTTCAATTGAGACGAATTTCGAAGGTTTCGTTTTTCAATCCGTCACCTACTTGGGTGCGGGCAATGGAGCTGCTGCTGGCACGGGACTCTTCATTCTCCTTCCGAGTGCGCCCACACCGCCTCTAAACGTGTTTAAATCGTGGATAAACGTGTTCATGGAAACTAATTGATTTTCGGTGGTGCATGTCAAAGATAAGCATATTCTTATGCATGTTTTAGTAAACGTGTTCATCTCGCCTTTAAACTAATCCGATTCCTCAATTGTTGCATGTCGCCCTATATTTGCACCTCGTACCTTTACGTGAAAAAAAGTGGAATGGGTCCGTATGCCCTTTGCCGTTACCCCAATTCAAGCAAAGCATATTAGAAAATGCTCCATCTCTCGTCTCTTTCCTCTCGAGGGACTCCCACATTGAAATCGTGGAATGTTCCAACCTCACCCCTTCCCCAAATTACCGTATGGGGATAATCATATAATGTATATATTTATACGAAATAATCCTATTTTTTATTGGTACATAATTTGAAAAGAGAAGCAGTAAGTGTGAGCTTTCCTGCTGCTAACACGCGAACGGGACCCCGATCTCGACGATGGTATGGAAGTACTCCGGCATCACATTATAACACCCCAGCACGATATTTACTCTTGCGGACGGGAAGAGAAGAAAGGGAGCAGCGTTGGTGGTCGTCGGACCCGTCCTGTTGTTCTTGGCCTCCCCGCCTCTCTGAGATACGCAGTGATCGGGAGGAGACCCACCGCGTCTTTCTCCGACTCGCTCAGTTCATCGTACGACCGAAAGGAGCAAGGAGACGGAAGCGGTGTCGTGCGGATCCCCGGCTCCTTTTTGTGTTATGTCTGTTCCAGGAGTCGTGTGCCTTCGCGAGGGTCTGAATTTTGCTTCGTCTGTTGTCCGCGTGAGTTCGTTCTACGACTCGCGGCGATATATTCAATACAGGTTTTTAAGACATGAAAGCGCGTTTTCTTTCGGCATGCGATTACTTCTGTTACTTTATTTTTATTTTTAATCATGTTAGGGTTTGATTTTTACCAGAAGCGCCTCAGCTGCATTTCAATTATGGGATAGGGAATGTGGACTTCGGCCCGCACCTGCATGACCAGACCGTGGTCCGAAAAGAGCTAGTAAAAAGAGGTTCGAAGATGGATCTCTGTGGCTTTCGTCTTTATTCGCTTTGGTTACCGGATAGAGGACACCTATTGGCGATAAGGATCCGTTTCGCGACTTGCATAACCCTTTTGTTTATTCTTTGACACTTTCAAGTCTTTAATTTTATTTATTTATTTAAAACAAGTTCACTGACTTGGATTAAGTCATAGCCATCTGATCGGTTCCACAAGATTACAGTTCGATATTTGATAAAACCTTAGGTTTGAAGGCTTTGCTTCGGACTACGCTTAGGCAGTTTTGGCTTCATCCCGACTGATAAACGCTGCGAAGACCCGATTCATTCCATTCTATCCATCCCTTGCAAAATCCTGATGCATCGCATCGATTCTCCCCCTCTCTGCTCTCTTTCCCGCCCAAACCTATCCCGGAATTAGAGTGGAAGGATGTAGAAATGCAAGAGATGGACTCGTCTCGAACCTTGTTGCCGTTGTAGACTTGCTCTGACGCTTTCTGGTCGGCCTTCCTGCCCGGACGGGTGAACGGCATCGCAAGTGGTGATGTACGAGAGACTTCCGCAGGCAAGGGAGGAGGGGGCACCGGAAAGACTCAACGGAGTTACGAAGAACAAGGGGACACAAGATGTTACTGAAGGGTCTTAGTTTGCAGCACCCAGCTTCGCAATGCCACTCAGATAAATTTAGTGACCGTTTCGGCTGGGAGGTAAAAAAAAAAAAAAGCTTTTTTTTTCAAATAGAAATATGATTAAATACGGCATCGATATGCCGGAAGGATATTAGAATCTACAGGGCTCACAAGTCGGGCTCTGAATAAGTGTTCAGTCCTATCGCGTATGACCCAACATAGAAAACAACCTAAATGAAGGGAATAAGAAGCCTGCGGAATTCTGGGCCGCTGTTTTCATGCATCCTTACCTTCTTCCTTTCGATTTCTTTCTCTCTTTTTGTTGAAAAGCAGGGCACATGTTTTTCGCCTGCTAACCTCTAACCTCCCACCCCCCCCCCCCCCCCCCCGCTGGTCTTTGTTTGCTACTCGAAGTCCAGAGACAGTGCCGACAAGAGATAGGCTGGTTTCTTGACCGTCCTTTTAATTTCCGTCATTTTCTGCCGAATAATATGGTGTGTATTACTTTCTGGTTGACTCTCGCAATCGGGTCTCTTGGGTCTATCTGAAATGAAGAAGAATAAGCTCATTGATTTGGGGTAGACCTAATAGGTCCTTCTTCCCTCTCACCTTTCCTGAGTTTCACTCCTGTATGGCTCATCTAAAATTTTTAAGAAGTGCAGGAATACATACGTAGGCCAGAAGATATTGCGTAGGCCTATATACATGGTATATACACCTGCGCCAAATACAATAAATGGCTATTCGAACATGTACATCTGCGCCAAACGACACACAAGTACATACACCAGCGCCATCACTTTCTTGAATGTTTGGATGAACTGTGTTTAGAGAAAGTTTCTTCTGCAGACACGAAGGGATCACGATTATGGGCTGGAGGAAGGTAGCTCCCGGTGCATTTAATTTTCGTACAGACTATACAAACGTAACATTGGACCCCATCGATAGCTCGAATTTAAAATAAACAAATGTACTAGGAAAAACCTTGCGACCACACGCCCACATGGGGCGTGAGAACACGGCGTGCGGCACGAAGATGCAATATGGATGCGCGCAGGCTCTCTGCTGCGCTTTGAAACCGAGCGCCGCGTTTGGATTTCAATCTCCGTCTTCATTTCTCATCTACCTCACCTACAAGTGCTAGAGTTTTTAGATCGGCTGCTCATTTGCAATCTAGGTCTATTCTTCGTGTGGATCACAGAGAGGCCCAGATAAACATACTTGCATTTTCTGAAAGCATCATGTCTAGAGGGGTCAGGCCCGTGATAAGTAAATGGTTGCTAGAGTTTCCCTCCTAGATGAGGAGTGGCTAGCGCCAGTACGGTTCGTTATGTCACCATCCACCTGACTCTCCAGTAGGCTTGGTCTAATTTATATATGGTCTACATTTCTTCCAGCATACCGGTCCCCATCATTCTGTTCGGCCTGGCCTGCATGCGTCCAAGTTTTTTCTAGTGCCTTCCTGCATAAAATATCCGTCAACATTTCTCTTTTCTTTCCCCTTTTCTGGTGCTTTTCCCATACAGGGTAGTTGTTTCTCCTTATGAACTCCATTAGCGCCTATGCCTCATGTTCTTGAGGTATTTCTGACTACAAAAGGTGACTGCTTGCTGAATTACAACTCATGCTCACTGATAAATGTTATACCTAAACATTGATAAGTTTTAGTGTAAGCATAGACTGGATGTTCAGAGATGTGGAGCAGAAGGAGTAGGTGGGAGTAGCGATGTAATGAACTTTGTGTGCTAGTGTTAGGGTGATCGTTTCAACTGGCTGTCGTGCAGTTTGTGTGCCATGGTGCGATGTATTATGAACAAGAACCCCATTGGTATTGGACCCTGAATTATGAGGGTGTGAGTGGTTGTTTTAGAATGAACTAAGTTCAATCTAGAGCTGCCTTGAACATGGACACTCAGTAAAAGATGAGGGCAATCTTTTTCATGTCTTACATCTTTTCCTTATCTCCTCAAGTTTAGTTCACTTCCAATAAGGTGCCCCCATTTGATATCCTATGAACATTCTTGTCTGGTTCACACTTTCTGGAACTATCAATGGTTGCTTTGTGCTATTGCATCATAGGTGATGGACAGAAATAGCTTTTCTGTTTAATAGTTAGCTTTACTTGTAACATTTATAGATATTATTTTGCTACTGCCCCAGACATTTCTTTACATTTGATTCTGACATGCCTTATCTTCCATTTCTAGCCATTGAGAATTTTCCTGATCACAGAGGGGCAATGGTGGAGAATGGATTTAGGCTGGTGGATGATCCACATATTCTTGCTATTGCCAGCTCTGGACTCAGGGGGTGGCTTAGAATCTAGTGTGGTCTCAGGCAATGGTGTGGTAGAAGAATCTCAGACCCGTGATGTGCCTTTGGAAGCAAATGGTGCTATTGAAGAATCTCATCCCCTTGATACCCTCCCTGAGACAAATAAGAAGCATATACTTGTAAAGAAGAAGGACAATGCATTTGGTGGGTAGATCTTTTACTGTCTTCCTATAAAAGTCTCAATGTTAAGCAACCTCTTATTTGCTTGATAGGTGTGAATGATCGCAATCGCCTTCATGGCCTTGACACTTCCATTATCCGTCCACCTCTGGAAGAAGATTACACTAGGTGCAGGAAGAAGACAACCTGTATCCTCATTCCTCCACTTATGAAGACATGTTTTGGAACACGATTGCCTTATAATTACACATCATCTGATCTTATTCAAGGGCTGTCTTTCCATGATATCCAGGTGAGTCCAGGAAAAATGAGGGAAAAGTCATTTAAGGAAGGTAATGAGGTTCTTGAATCCATATAATATCACTGTCTGTGTGCATGTTTGCCTGGGAAAACCTCCTCTCAGGCTGAGTCCAAGGTCAGGATCTCAGTGAAATAGGATCAATGAAAAGCTTAAAGCCTCAGGAAGCTCCATATTTCATTTTTGTTCCAATCTGATGAAAATTAAGGGAGCTGACTGATATACAGTCACAAGGTCTGTGGCTTGGTTAAAAGTGAACCTGGCTTTTGTGGCCGAGAACATAGGTTTGAGGCCAAGTAAGTCCAATGTTTATCTCCAAGTGTATTTACAATTATTATTTCCAAAACATCCTGTGAATGTTTGGGAAGGGAGATTCCTTGAGCATGTACTACTTCTGTTGCTACGTGTGGGATATTAAAGAGTCCTGGTGGTGAAAGCAAAATGGAGACCTTTTTTCTGATGTTTTTTCAGCATCAACTAAAACAATGGGAAGCAGTAGAGAGCATTCCCAAGTGTTGGGCAAGCCTCCAACCCTTCCTCTGTTCTGTCTACCTGCCTCGCTGTGATCCTGAAGGAGATGTCCCATCATCTTCATTGTATAAAGTGCCTGGCATGGTGCACCTGCCATCATTGGAGATGTGCCGTGCCACTCGTAGTCCATGTCGAGCTGTGGAGCAGCTGCATGGATGGCTTGATTTCCTCACCTGTGAGCAAATGGGTCAACCACGGTTTCCTTCATTGTGTAAAGTGAGTGCTTTTTTCCTAACTCATTTTTTTGATATTGAGGTTATTCAACTGTTGCATTTTATTGGCTATCTGTTAGGCAATGAAGAGACAGAATTAGGAAGCTGGATCCATACTTTTGTTACACTTGCCTTCAGTCATTAATAGCTGAGACATTCCAGCTCAAGTGGTCAAATTTTAGTCACTTCATTGAGCTTCAGACTCTGATTTGATTGAACAATTCACATTCACAATCTGCCCAGATGGTTTACAAATCATGCAATATTTTAAGACTGGGATCTTTGGAATCTTTTAAGATTGGGATAAACGGCACCAGCTGATGCACCCTGTGCTGTGTTGAATATTGACATTTTATTGCTTAATGCATCCATATATTGAATAATAGAAATAGAGATATTTATGAGTCAAATGTGAGATATACATAGGTCTGGTTGCTTAACCAAGATTCCCATCATTGTAATTTCATATCTTGTTTAAAACAGGTAGTATGAACCACCAAAGTTGGTGAAAATAGGCAATTTTGGACTTTTCAAATTTATTTTTAAGTTGTTTCAAAAAACATAGGAAGTTGACATTTAGTTCTTTAATTGCCATTGCCTTAGTCTACAATGTTATGAAAGGTTGTGGTGTTACAATGCATCTTAGTGCTAATAATTTGTGTGCAAAATTCAGGAATATTTACAATTTGGAAATTGCATAACTCAATTTCTAATAAACACAGTAGAAAATGCATTTAATAATGTGATCCTGCATGGTCTCAGCTTTACTTAGAGTCAAAAAATGCATTTTTAGGTCAACTGGGACCAAAGATAGTGCTTTAACCCTAAAGGTCACTTTTCCTCTTTGGGGGTGAAGTTTGGGACCGCATATCTCGAGATCTGTTAGAACCAGAGAGCCAAAATTTGTTTGTTTTTTTCATAAGTCTTGATTGCCAGCATGCAATAATTTTTTCAATCAAATCAGAGTCTGAAGCCCAACTACCCCTTGATCACTTGAGCTGGAATGCCTCAGCTCAATGTTGTAATGTAATATTTTTGAGGGTGGGGTTGGAGAAAGGTCCAGTTCCCCCCTGACAAAAAAATCCCCCCAAAAATTTAATATGACAAAATTGTAATGAAGTTGATTTTAGTTTCTTGAGTTTATTTAATTAAACTGATTGCCTTTGGTTCATTATCATCTTTACTCATCCAGAAGTTTATTATCCCTGAATTTTGTGTCAAAGATATTAGGCCTGTGTCGTCAAAATCAGGCCCCTTCACAAAATATTTTAGTAATGTTACTGGTATTGTCACCGGACCATTTGCTTCAATGATCACCCAAGATTTCAAAGCTTCTTATACCACCAGGATTTTTTATATGGTGTTGGTAACATGTGCTGGCCATAACCAAATGTAGCATGTGATGAGTTTGCTAATGTTTGATGAGAATAGTTGAAAGCTCTTGTCTTTCCACAGAACCCTGTCAGAGAGCTGAGCTTCAACAGGACTGGACATTGTCCTCCATTGATGGTGAGAACTGAGAAGGAAGACCTGTGGACCCCTCTTGTGGATGGATGTGGACGTCAATGTCAAAATCCCTTGTTCACTAATGAAGAACATGAGTCAATCCATTATTTTATCTCAGTTGCAGCTGGTCTATCTCTTGCAGCTAACATTTTTACTGTGGTAAGTCAAGCTTCCTTACTTCTGTAGGCCAAAATTTACTGTAGGTTTTGGTTCATCATACTTTCCCCTTTGTTGTAGCTGACATTCCTCATTGATTGGCGGTCAGGAAACAGATATCCAGCACTGCTGATACTATACTTGAACATTTGTTGGGCAGCAATATCTACTGGTTGGCTTGTACAGTTTTCATCTGAAACTGCTCGTGATCGGATTGTCTGCTTACCTGATGGCTCACCACGTCTTGGAGCTCCCAGGTGTGTCACGTGGTTAATGACCATTTTAATTTTAGGTAAAATTCAGGCAGTGGTTAACCTCATTTTGATCTGATAATGTTGCAGCACTGAAGAGAACACCCTCTGCTTTTTGGTGTTTGTGCTTGTCTACTACTTCCTGATTGCCGGACTGGTCTGGTTTGTGATCCTTTCCTACGCGTGGTTCGTATCTTTCCGTGCCCTGGGAAAGGTCAAGGAAGAGATGCATGGAAAAGGAGCATATTTCCACCTGACTGCTTGGTCCATCCCACTTGTACTCACCATCACTGTTCTTGCCATGGGTCAAGTTGATGGAGACTCCTTGACTGGGATCTGTTTCCTCACACTTGTCATCCCATCCTATGGGATCATTTTCCTTTTGGTTCCACTCATGGCTGCTCTTCTTATTGGAGGCTTCTTCCTCTCCAGATGTAATATACCTTTCTTCATGTTCCCTCCAGGCCAAAATCCAGTCTTGGATAATTTATGTGTGAATTCATGATGCCATAGGTCTGTGGTTGTTGGTGAGGCTGAAAGCAACTGGTAGGGAACTAATGCCTGAGAAAGCAGCCACCAAGATCAAGGAAACAATTATTCGGATGATGATCTTTCTGATTGGAGCAGTGGGGTTTGTGGCTTTTGCATTTTATCATCGATTGAAGGATTGGGAACTTCAGTCATCTTGGAAGGATACATTCATCAACCACATCATGTGAGATTCTCTTTGAAATCCTCTGCATTGAAAGTTGAGAGGATGTTTAATGAAGTTCTTGTCCTGTGGCAGATGTCGTGTGAATGAGACTGCTCACGAATTGGTGAATTCCTGGGGCAGTCCTAGTCAGACGTGTGCAATGGGACCAAGGCCAAGCCTCTTCTTGATGAAGCTGGACATAGTCTCCCTCTTCTGCATGGGCATCCTGCTTGGCTCTTGGGTGTGGACAAGGGCATCCTTGGGTGCATGGCATCGTTTCTGGCAACGCTTGTCTGGACAAGAACCACAGGAGCCTCCTCGTCTGAAGAAGCATCGCATGATTGCCCAGGCTTTTGCTAAGAGACATGATCTGCACTATGCTGGCCGCCTCTCCATCTCCTTCCATCAGAGTTTCCAGGATCCTGTTGGCCTGGATTTTGACCTGGATAATGTTAATAGGTGAATTAGGTTTTGACTTACTTTCCTGATCTGTCTACTTCTTAGTTGTATCTATTATTTCACACTATCATTTTGACCAGCAATTCTGTTCAGACCTTTCTATGCATACAGGCTTTCCACATCCTTTATATGAGCTTTCTTGCCTCTAAGTGCATGTCAGGTGTTTAATCCTTTCCTGGTAAAGTTTTTTTTTTTTCCAATCCACTCATCAGCAAAAAACATAGATATTATTCTAGAGTAGGTTGACACATGCAAGCATACTTCCTTGAGAGATTGTTCCCACAGATGACCCATGTATGAAAATCCATGTGGTCCCTCCACAGCTTTTGTGGGTGCATAAGTGTTTAGTAGCACTATCCTGTGAATAAACTTTCATGTAATCATAATCATGCATGTAAGCACACTTAAAGGTCTGATTTTTAGAACTTATTGGTGTCCTCATGGCTACTGTCTTTTGCTGCATGCCGCTTATTGCCTCCTGATTGCATATCCCAGTTCAACTTGTTCCCCATTTTCATTTTAAGTTATATTCTCTGATCCATCTCCTTTATGGAGAAGAAAACAAGATTCAGTGCTAAGAAAGCCATTACAATATATCAATAGAAGCTGTATACAGGGAATTAGATCAGATATTTTTTAAACTAAGAAACTGTCAAAACCAATTAAAATTGATTTCTTTCATCCTTAACTCTTGACATCCTTCTGACTCTTGCTTGTCTTTTGTTTTATAAAAGCAGCAGCTATCTACCTGTTGTGTACCAATGTTTAGTCTATTGGAAGTTGTTCAGGAAAACTATCAGAAAGTCAAGTAGATTTCAAAGAGTGTGAAGGCATTGCAAGAGGTGGAAGTACAAGAAATGCAGGTCTGATATGAATGATACCTGCAATGTGATCAGATCAGGCTCCATTCACTGTATGTAGTTGTACTGAATATACAGAAATATCTCTTGATAGTATGTGGGCCTTTTCCCCAAAGGCCCTTTTATTTATGTAACATAAAACCACTGGGCTTTTCTAACTGCACAAAACTCGGTTGAAGAGAGTATCTTCTCCCTACTTAATCATTAACATGGAAATACTACTGATTGTGTCAACAGTGGGCAAATTAAGAGACTGAAAAACTGCTTGATGCCTGATAAGACAGCCTATGAACAGCTTTCTGACAGTTGGGAAGTCATTCCCTAAAGAAAATAGATTCTCTCCTGTAAATTCTTCATTTGATTGACTTTATTTAGTACCATAGGTGCAAATTGAAATACCTTGTATGAGCTTGGTTCTATTTTGTTCTTGGTTCTTGGTTCTATATTTTAGAGCCATCTGATTTAATTTCCCATTGATACTCAGGGTTGAGGAAGATAATGATTATTACATAGTGATATTTGCCTTGTTCCAAGTGCTTTTACTCAAAATTATTTACTTATGAAATCTTTGTTTTTTCTTTTTGGATCCAGTGGGGAGGACATTTCATCTGCATGGGCTGCAGCCATACCACAGTTTTTGCAGAGAAGAGGAGCCCTGGCCGGAGCAGCAGTGTTCTCACGTCGAGGGTCCTTGGAATCTGAGCAATCCCGTCGCTGGTCGTTTGAATCACGTTTGTCACGCCGACAGAGCCTGGATTCTCAAGTCTCTGGTTCAGAAATGGAAGTCGGTCGTCGGAGAGAGAAACGTAGATTTTTCTTCCGCAAGAGGTCCTCCTTCACTTCTCAAGATTCCCATTACTCTTCTCAAGTTCTCCCTCCTCTGACTGTTGGAGACCTTGAAACACCTCTCCAGGGGACTCCACAGATGAGCACTAATCACAAGCATCATCGAGGGAGGACCAAATTACAGGTCACCTCCCCAGAAGGTGAAGATCTGATTCGTCGCCTGGAGAAACTTGCTGCTTCCATCGACCCGACGATATCTTCCAACCTGACCGACATGGCTGTGCAGACATCCCAGCCAGACATACGGGTCCATCTCCGGGAGATGGGGACTCAGATGAGCCCCAAGCACAGTCTGGAGCAACTGGCTGAGGTCGAGCCTCTCCTTCCTGATGAAAATGTGATTTTATATCCTCTGACTACATTGAAAGTGTCTCGTGTTTCTTCTGAAGAAGGAAAGGAGGCCTCTGATTCGCTCTGATCTCACTGTATTATGTCATCTCCATTGTTTCTTGTTATTTTTGTATGTTTTTGTACAAAAAGGAATTTGTTTATACTTTCGGTCTTTTGTTCTTCACTCATTGTTGGGCAGCCTGTGACTATCACTATATTGGGCCAAAAAGTTGAACATCCCTGCAGGCCTTGGTTATTTCTTAATTTATTACCAGAAGTTATTGTGTTTTGATGGCAGAAGGTACTCAAATCCATGTTGCATTTCATAGATTGCTCAGGAAAAAAAGTACAGGAAGTGAGACTGAAATAAGCTTTCAAATGTTCTCCAAAAAATAAAGTGAATAGAAAGTTAATCTTTATCATACATGGTTTTTAAAGACATTGGTCTCCTCATGGCTGAAATTTAATTCTGCCCTTTTAAACCCCAAGGCGTTGTATATTATGAAACATTTAATGTCTTTGCTATTCTCTGTTTTACAATAAAACAAAAACCACGTGAACGAGCGAGAGTCGCTGTACATAGTGTAAAACCACGTCAGTTCGGACACTGCTGTGAACATGGTTACAAAACTAAGCATTCGCGAGGCCGCCTTCAGGAATAGTTCTTCCTAACATGGGATGAACACGTTACTGAGCAATGGAGAAGTGGTGTCCATGATGGCTTTCCACGATTCCAAGATATTGAGTTTAGATCAATGCTCCATTGCGAACGGGGTATTCTTCAAGAAACCGTAAGAAGAGAACCTTATTTTCAAAACGTTTCACACGTGACTGTTTTTTATGACCAATTCTTACTTCCCAGGAAACTAGGGTGACATGGAGTCTTGTTACACAGAATGCACGTGCCATCATTAGATTACTGTCTTACTTCCGGTGTGTCTGAACTTAGGTCAGGAAATGTTTGAGAAGCTTATGTTCGGACATACATTGACGTGTGTCATATTCGCGCAAGTATGATGTCCTCTCGAGATGAAGAACGTTTGGAGCTACCAAAAGCACAGTTGAGTCACGTTTTTCAGGGATATGTATTTTGGAGCCCTGTCCGAACATCCATGTGGGGCTTGTGGCTTCGGACACCGCGGTGTGCGGCGTGCTTTGGAAACAGTGCAATCGTGGTGGGAGGTCGGAATGCAAGGTATCATCGATCCGAGACTGCTGAAAAGGCCACCAGGGGCATTCAAATCGGGTGAGATGCCCTTGCGGAAGCCCAGCATTGCTTACGGTGAACGCGTCTGGAAAAATTCTGGGAAAATGTTCCCCTAGTTGTACCTCCGAACTCGGAGTGGGGACATATATTCCTGAAGTTGGACGCTTTCTAAATTAATCGTACTTTTATACCGAATGTAATAAACTGCCTGCCCGTTCTGCTGAATAAAAAATTCGAAAGCATGACCCCGATGAAAAATATGCATCAAAAGGATTTACCGCAAAAGTAGGATTTTTTCATAAATTAACGACTGGAGAGCAACTTACGTACCAAGTTCCAGGTTTCTACATCCGCCGCCTTCCGACTCACTGTAGCAAATGAAAAATGTAGCTCCCCTCCAAAAAAAAAAAAAAAACCTCAGAAGATATATTCCAAAAGTAGGATTTTCCCTTGTGTCCGCATAACGGCAGGTACCTATCTAGTAAGGTTTCAACCTTCTGTCTCCATATTCCCTGGAACGAAATAATTTGGTGGGAAAGGTCTATCCCAAAAAATATGCTCTCAGGGAACGCATACTAAAAGTATACTTTTTACCCCTGAAATCTGCATCTCAATAGGTACTTATGTACCAAGATTCAGCTTCTGTGTCTCTCCATTTAGTTGGAATGAAGAAAATGTATGGAAATACGTCTCTTAAAAAAGCTTTTCCCCCCGAAATCCTCATCATAAGAGCTATTCGTGTACCAAGTTTGATCTTTGACCTCATCCAGAACATGATTAGAATGAATGTCAGCCTCTCCCTCACTCGATCACGATCGTCCTATGCTTGAATACAGAGAAAATATCCAGTACCTTGAGAGGGGGGGGGTATCATTCCTTTACGTCACAGTGGTTTCGAGTCGCTTTGGGACTTAAGAAAGGGGATGTTCGAACTGAGGTGAAAGTGTACGAACTTAGCTTTTTCTGCATCCAAGTTCGGACATCCGCATGATAGACCATATCGGAAATTATGAAGCCGGGAAGGTTCCTTGTAGCAGTCATACTTGCTCGCGTGGTGTTCCCATGCGCAAAAACAAATGAAGCTTCCGGCTTGCTCCGTTGAGATAGGACCAGCGAATTATGAGGCTCGGCCTGCTCAACTGTCCGAACATTGGTGGTTTTACCCTATTTAAGAATTTTCATCATTTTCTAGCATAAATGCTTATGAAGTTTCACGACGGTTTGTGATTTTTATCGACTTATTTTTTTCCCCCGATATTCGCACTTCACATATAATTTTCCTCTCAAAATAAATGTATGACATCGTAAGTACTTCCAGAGAAACATGATTCGAATGCGAGCGATGTATATGCCTCATGTAGGAGATCGAGTTTCTAAACACAAGCTTCTAGACACCGCGCTGGCAAGACGAGCAAACTCGTCTGCAGGGCTCAGAGTAACAGCAAGGTCCATCGTATGAAACAAATATTTACGACAAAGTAGAGCCTGGCATGAATGAAATGACCGTGCAGGAGCATGCACCGACCTCATTACGCGACGATTGCGTCATTTGTTTGGGCTAGGAGCCTACTCGAGGGCCAGAAGGGCTCCTTGATGTGACACGTGTTAGATATGTCTAACATTCCTAAGATGAAGGTTAGATATTCCATGGTCTAAATTGACACTGTCGAGTGGTTTGTTGTATCGAGTAGATTTGTATTCCTTCGTTGTATATTAGGATATCATTCGATGGAAAAAACTGAAAGACGGGAAAAAATAAAAATATTAAAGTGATTCCCATAAATCCCGAATTGAATTTGTATGGATATTTCTCATTTTCGTACGAGGTTGAGATACTCAGGATCTGGACGAAGGAAACCCCAACTCGAGGAACTCGGCTCTTTGGCAATGCAGTCTGCGGTCTCCTCTTTCGAAAGGGCCATGGCGTCTCGATGAAGATAAGTCCGGGGTCGCGTTTGTCGGAGAGCGTCGTCAGTGTCACAAATGCGAGGCCGTGGATCGTCGCTTGCGTATTTTCCCCGAACGGAGTTGGGGCGCAGGGCCGGCCTTTAGGCATGTGGCCACGTGTGTCCCCGCACAGGGCACAAATTCACCAGGGGCGCCAAAACGGATCAAAATGAACGAAGCAATAATGGATGCCACCTTCAGTTTTACTTCATAAAGTGGAAATTCCCTCAGTTTCGGCGTCTTTTTGGACACAAGGGATTGATCCATCTCCCTTCTTGGGGGGGGGGGGGGGGGGGGTTGGGGTCTCCCCCCAGTTTAACCCCTTAAATGGACNGGGGGGGGGGGGGGGGGCGTTTGGAGTCTCATCCCAGTTTAACCCCTTAAATGGACTCGCCGCATATGTGCGGTCTGGCACCTGCCATCTCTCAATGGAATCACCGCACATATGCGTTCAAAAGTTCCCAGTTAAGGGGTTAAAATCCCAAATGGAATATTCCAGTTGGACCAAAGCTGTAAATTCGGACCTTTTTTCCAGCTGGCAAAGAGCTGGAAATTAGTAGGTATAGGTTGTTTAACATCTTGAAATTTCCAACTGGAATTCATCTGGTTTTAATAGCTGTTTCCATCTGGAGATTTCCAGTTTTCCAGAAATCTCCAGAATTTCATACAAAAGACCCTCCAACTGGAATACAGCTAAATTTTCAGCTGCTCCTGTAGATGGACCTCCAGTTAGAATAGCCAAAAAAACATTCGCATTCCACAAGTGACCCAGCAACCAATTTCAAACACATAACGTCGAATCAACATTGAATAAACGTTTGGAACGTTGTTCCAACGGTTCAACGGTTCCCTTTGGTCCAACGTAGCCTTGTTTGCTGGGGATATTACTACTAGGAACCAGACTGGGTCTGACTTTACTTTCCATCTGTTACCCAGTTGGAATGGGTCCGAATTTACAGCTGGGGTCCAGTTGGAAATTATAGCTGTTTCCAGCCGGGATTTTAAGCTGGGATTGCACTGGGCGCCGAAATGGCTAGGGCCGGCCCTGATGGGGTGACACATATCTGATCCATTTAACTGGTCCAATTTCATTAGGGTTATTCATGGGAATAAGAGTGTCTCCCTTAAATCGATTCCCCCCAGGAACCATCATGAAATCAGATTAATTTAAACTTAACAGATATGGTGCATGTTGTCCATGGAGTGTGAGACTGGTTGACTAAATCTTCCAATAGATGGCAGCAACGGTAGAGAGCAGTATGGCGGCGCACTGGAGTATCACTGTCATGCAGTTCGTGATTTCTATAGCGACTCGGTGACATAGAAAACATTGACTGTGAGTCATGGAAGACGAGAAAGAATTCAAGTCCTGGCTTGTGGACAGGGTCAGAGATCTCAGCGCTGATGAAAGCGTCATGGTTCCTTACATCGAGGGCATATTGGAAGGAGAGGAAACTCTGGATGAGAAACGAGATGCCCTCCAAGCAATCCTTGCCGAGCTTGTGAGTATTCCTTTTTTGACTTAGCCAAAGCAATAGCAGGGCTCTATAAATCAGGAAGGCTTAGGCTAAGCCCAAGTTGTCACAACGAAGGGAAGCTCCGGCTAAGTCATAAAAGCAAAAATTCATTATTCATGTTTACAAATGACTCAGGGCAAGATAACTTGCTATACTTGAGGAACTAATGGATGTTAAGACCAGGCTGGGTCAGCTTTATTGCAGGCCTACAAACAGTAAAGTAAAGCTTGGTTATTGATTCTATGCAACAAAGCCAAGGTGCTTGCAACCATACAGTCCCTGGTCTTTATACATTATCAGGAATATGTGTTGATTTGCACTATGCTTTACTCTTGTCTCACTACACATAAACCTTTTTTATTATCTGAAACCTAGATGGCCATCAACTCGCAGGGAGCTCATTATAACTATTATTCCTTCATATTTGGTTATGCTGAAGACATTGATTTGGTTTACACTTACTCTGCTCCTTTCTATCTTGCCATGAAAGATAAGCATTTTCATATTAACTTTCATTACAATATTTGATAGGGAGATGAAGAAATGGATATATGTGAGGAGATCTTGAAGAGATGGAGTTTTGCGCATGGGAAAGGTGATGATACTGAGAGAGAAGGTGCAAAGGCAATGGAAGTGAAGGACATAGAAGAGAGAATCCATGAAATCATGGAACAGCAAGCTCAAAGTATAGTTGCAGTGAAGCAACGGACACAAGAGGAGCAAGAAATGCGTGATGCTATCCTCACACAGTATGGAGTGGTAGGAAAATCTCCCATCTGTACATCTTTTCAAAGCCTTTGATTTTAATTTTCAAAGTTTATTCTTTTGAGTCAAAGAATTTTCCAAATGAAATCTACCACCCAGGTAAGTTGCTTCCCATGCATTGATGTTTGTGATAACTGAGATTGTCTCTATCTCAAAGGAAGAAATCTGCATAAATAAGTTTTGAGCTAAATTGACAAAGGCTCCTTGAGATATAGAAACCACAAAATGGTGTATATGGATTATATTGATTCATTATCAAAAGCATGCCTAGTTGTCAGATGAGGAGGAAATTGTTGCTGAAGAAGGAGAGAAGTCATCATCATCTGATTTATCCCTGGTCCCCAAGAATACCAATGCTGAAGTTATAGCCCGGATGGAAAAGGAGAAGAGGGAAAAGGCCAAACTTGAGGCTGAGAAGAAAAAACAGCAAGATAAACTCAACAGGTAATGGCCAGTAGAGGATCTTGACTGGGAATTAACATTCTAGTTTCAGGGATCGGTTATCATTCACATGATGTTTTTTTTTTGGTGCTAGGGAGAAACAGAAGCAAGAAGCAACAGAGAGGAAGGAAAAGGAAAAGAAGCGTACACAGAAAGGTGAAAAGAAACGATAGCAAAGGCCTCCAGGTTTGTTTTCCTTCAATATAATTTTTTTATGATAAATGTAATGAGTGATCTGACAATGTTCTGATAATGGGCATCATGATTTGCTACTCTTGAAAAACCTTCTGGGTCTCTTGGTGCCATGCTGAATTTTTGCTAGCAGAGGGTAGCAGGGAGCAGATGCCGAGAGAACAAAAGAGCTGCTCTGGTTCATGGTACTTTTAACCAATTGTGCTTGATTGGTGTCTTAGTTGGTCTTTCTCTGGGTGATGGATTGTGCTAAAGAAATGGAGACTGAAACCAGTCAAGATTTATGCAGGCCGTAAAGAGAAAAAAATTATTAGGTATATTAGACTAGGCATTGGAGAGGTGTGACATTACATGCCACCTGCCATAGCCTCTTGAGAAACAAAAAATGGCAGTGGCTTCTATTTGTTTGATTGTAAACATCCCCATGAGAAAAGTACTTGGGTTTTTTGACAATGCGCAAGTGCAGGTTTGCATGGCTATGGGTTTGCAGTTAGACCAGCAAAAGTTATGTGCTATGGTATAATCATTACTTTTTGAGTGTATTGGAGCATATCTTCAGTAGTTGCATAGTATGTCGCTATAACTGAGTTTTAAATTGAATCTGATGCATATCATCAGCCTGCCAATAATCTATAGTCCTGGCCAGTGGTGCAACTAGACTTAATTTTTTTTTTTTTTGAAAAGGGGGTAGAAGCTTTGCCTACCTACTATCAGTGGAGTCTTTGGGTTTAAAGGGGAGTGGAGGTTACTGAGCATACACTTTACTGGCTGTGGAGATATATAGGGTGTTTCAAAAAAGATGCTCCACTCATTTTATATGGGGGATGGATAATCCTCATTCCCATAAGGGAAAAAATCAGACCAGGCTTTATTCTGGCTCCTGCCTATTTTCTTAAAGGTATTACATCATGAGAATGAGGTAGAGGAGGCTTAATCTGAGAAGCAGTTTATTATAGGTTGTGAGCCACATAAAATGGGGGATTTGCCTTTTGGTGTCAGATACACTCCAAGGAATAAGAATTGCTTCAACCCCGTTAGAATGATACAGATTTTACTCGAGATTCTGACGTGAGGGTACAAACATTCAAGTCTTTCCTTGCATTATTCTTCCCTTCAGATGCTGGACTGAACATGTATTGAACATTGCAAAGCCATACTAAATCTGAACTATTGGATCACTGCACCTGTCTCTTCCTGATCCCTCCCACATACCTGCTCAGCCTACAGTTCTAGGAGCATAGAACTCAAGAACACATGCCTTTATGGTTTCTGTTACAACAGAAGAATTTTAAGAATAAAATTTCAGATCTCATTCTGAAGCAGAGAAGTAAGGATGTCTTACCACCACTTTGTCGCCATAAAGGAATTCCATTAAGAGGTACCAATAATATCTACTGATATGTTGAGTACAAAATAACGTGACAGGCAAAGGTGAAATCGGATGGGTCGAGACTAATGAAATTCAATCCCATCCTTGGCTATTTTTAATGGTAAGAGGAGATATGGTAAACAATTATAAATGCAGCATCTTCAAGCAATGATGGCCTACCCATTACATTGACATTAGAGCCCATCACAAGATGTAATACCCCTAAAAAGAAAATTGTCATTATCCCATAGAAAAAGGATGGAGCATCTTTTTTGAAACTCCCTATATATGTTGCAATGGAGAGGCACTCATCTCCTTGTGCACACTTTTGGGAGGTTGGGAGGGGAGGTAGTTTAAACACCCTGGTTGAATCACTGGTCCTGGCTATAAGTTTCATGTATAATGGTTTTCAAAGTCTTCTGTTAGGAAAGGCAACTGCAATAGAACCTTTAAGCTAACATCTTCTCATCCACAGCAATACGGAAAGGGATGTTGGGGCACAAAAAAGTTTTTGTTGGTAATCGTGTCAGGTGTGATCTATAAGTAGGCATGAATGCCATCATTGAAAGGTAGTCAGGAATATTTCATAATTGATTTTAAGTACAATACATAAATATAAAAAAATTAATATAGTACAGACACCTAAAAATAGCTGATCCAAGATGGAGCCCTTGTCAAAGTGTAGTCTTGAGTCATATCAGGCTAGAAGCCCTTGTCATTAAATGCAACACCCTCAACCCATAAAAGTGGTCTTCAAGTCATGAAAAAACCTTCAAAAGCCCCTCTGGATATAGGTTCAAGCCCTGCCACCACATCTTTATTAGGTACTGGGAGAGAGGCTGCTGAGAGGTACCTCACATGTTGTGCAGGACCTTATAAGCTTCAGCTCGGACCACAGCTTCTCTATGAGCATCTTCAATTAAGTAAATTGGCTACACCAATTCAGCTAAACTTGGGATGCTTTGTTCACCATGCAGGCAGATTTGTTGAGCCACACCACACAAACAGCTCTATACATATGCTCGAAGTGAAAGGGCTTCAAATGACACTGAAAAGGTGAAAGGCAAGGCAAAGGAGGTAATAGTATATATAGTACTTAAGGATTTTTAGTACTTAAGGATCCACTTAAGGATTTTTGTCAACTTAGTCAACTTTGGCATGACCATCTCTCAGGGCTTACTACAGGGTGGTGGACTTAAGGTGTTGCCAGTGGCTTGGGACCTGATGATGCCCCCCAGCTGATCAGCCTCGTCACAACCACACCCCCCTCCCCTCCCCCTTGCATAATTCAGCAGTCTTAATACGGAGCTATACCTTCCTAAAGTCATGCATACACCCCTGAGCGATGGTCTTGCCAAAGTTGACAGCAATTCTTATGTGGACACATACTGTACTGCAGTATTACCCACCCTGGCAAAGGGTGGGAAAATTTTGAATCAGGGAGTGAAATCACTCACAACATGCCATGCATTATGCTGTAGATCGTGACTGCACATAGATTACACCTGACACTATTACCTTTACCTTTTTGTCTCTCTTGTGAATTTCAGGCTGATGGAAAAAAAATTCCAGATACCTGATTGAAATTGATATATAGTTTCACTGATGTGGGGGCAGGTGTTTAGTCTCTGTGTTCTCTGAAGAGACACTCTCACTACCCTCTCCAATCACAGGAGAAGGCATTGTTGGCTGACCCCAAAGTTCCACAGACCCTGTGAGGCCCTGCAAGCTGTTCAATCCATCATGAAGATGACTTCACACCTGCCAGTGGAGGACACAGTATCTAAGAAGATAGTGAGTGTTGCATATGAATTGAAGACATCTGTCCAAAACAGTGTTGTGTTGGCCTATGCTACATTGCCCTTGTGGCTACTGTGCCTCTCTGTGTCAACCCCCAGAGTTAATTTGCCTGTAGATGCTCAATGTTCCATTTATGATGTCATTTCCAGTTGAGATGACATCAGGGGCATGTTAAACTCAGAACTCAGAGCTCGCTCTCTCTCTCTCTCTCTCTCTCTCTCCCTCCCTCCCTCCCTCCCTGCATCATGTTTGGCAACATCATCTTGTCTGGATCATGGTAATGCAGAAAAATAAAAACATTATTCTTGGGGTGAAGTGTATTCCCAGCCAATTTGGTTCTGTCTTCATGGGATTCATCTGTGATGCTAGTTGGAAACAAGCATAGAGTCAAGCTGGTCCATTGAGGTTGTATTTTCTAGTTCATAAGACTATTTAGTCAACAAAAAATGAAGCCAGAATCTGAATCCTACCAAATTAGTGAGAGATATTTCTGGTTTTAGAGGTTCTTCTGATATTCTTGGAAATCTTTCAAGCCTCTAACTAGAAAGCCACCTAGACACAGCACAAGATGCAAGATGTAAAGCAGCCACGTTAAAGGTGAATCTGCAACAGATTCTTTGGGTCACTGAACCAAATTGACCAGGTCCTATGGTCAAAAATCAGGTTGCTGCCAAATCAGTGCTTTTCCAAACTTCATTTATGCTCAAGCCAAATGTAATTTCTAAAATATTTGTTGCTGACATAGCTAATTGATACATACATTCTCATGGTGTTTACCAAAATATATAGGAAAATTATGTAAATTACAGGAGCTTCCTAACATCTATGCATGAAAGTCATCCATTTCCTAGCCTAACTTCAGCTAGACTATCTGAAGCATCATCATGACTGTTCAGAACAGCCAAACTGCCTTGATATTCTATAGGGCTGAAGAATTTTGATGCAGAATAAGAGTGCACTCCCTTTAAAGGATTCTGAGTTTAACAATATGCCCCAGATCAGATTTGAAAGGGAAGTCCATATTCCTGCTATGGAGACGACTTCACTAGCCAAAAAGGAAAGACCACCTCCAAATAACATGGTCAAAAAGTACATTTTTGCTACTTTTTAAAAATTAAAAAAAAGTAGCAAAAATTTAGAGGAGTTGACAGTTGTTGATAGTGGAGGTGTGACTATTGTTTTGTCAGAGAGAGGTGAAAATGTAATGATACTGTCAGCAATCCAAAATTTTCATCTGACAGTTGTTAGCAATGTAGCTATATCCAAATTTTCCAATATTGGTTTTTCAAATATAAATTCTTAACCCTCTTGAGGATGATTTCTTTAGGATTTCAAATTACTTTTGAGATAGAAAAAAAAGACTAAGAAAAACTAACATCATGTTAGTCAATGAGTGGGAAGTTCTTGTTGCTTCTGTAGTTCAGTTAGTTCCCCCTCTTGAATTGGACTGGACCTCTGATGACTGATTTCATGAGACTTGAGTTCCTATATATGCTCAAATTGACCTACTGCATTTATGATTTCCAAGTAGAAACCTGTGAGTTGATGGCTATAAATGGGTGCCTCATGATCACCCTGTGTCTTATTCAGAAATGGCATATTTTGCCCATTTCTCAGAACTCTGTCCATTTCCCTCATGTTCAGCTATGATTCAAGAGGTTGTGAAATTTGCGTGATGAATTCATATGTACCCTTGGTCAAATTTTCCTTTTCTGGTTTCATTTGTCAGAGCATGAATGTGCCTTGTGTGTCCCTGGGAACTGAGTGCTTTTACAAATGGAGAGAACCTGCCTAGTCCTAAAAAATAAGATCTGAGTGAATCAGGGTATACTCATTCTGGAAATGCCAATGAATTCAGTTATGCATTTGGAATGGTTGTGCTGGTGCTGGCCTAAGGTGAGGGGCTCCTGTTTGCTCAATTGTTGTTCTCTTGGATGTATCCAGCCTTTCATGGATTGGGACTGATGTTATTTGTGAGTAAATCGTTTGAAAGTGTGAAGAATGTCCCCCTTGCTCTCTCTGATTAGCAAGGCATCATAAAATAGTAATGAACACAAACCGAATTGATGGCAATAAGAAATTAGCTGTGGATTGGTCACTTGCATTAGCACTGGGCATATCCTTTCATCACTGAGCAACTGGCAAACTTCTGCTTTCTTTCCCTTCATGGAAGGGAACTGGACAGGACTGTTCAGATTCATAGACCAGTGTCATTGTTTCAATAATTTTTCCAATTTACCAAGAAGCTACTGAAGAAGGTTGAATAGGACCTCACTGTAATGATGAGGCTCCAAGTTTTGTATGGAAGGATGAGAAACCTATTAGTTCCTTGCTCTCTTTCCATAGGGCATTAGAAGGAAATTCATTAAGCAATTTGTGATGATTTTTCTATTTTGGAAAATATTGTCTGTGTCCTTTGGTGGATTGTTTTAATGTCAAAACTTCTCATTCATATTGGGAAAGAGGGGTCCTTTCAATGGCACCTGAAATAGGCCACCAGTAATTTTATGTATTTTCTTCTTGCCTCCTTGTGTTTGACTTATGTTGTAGTTGCATTCCTTTCCAGTAACTTTTGGAACTTTATGAAATCAGTAATTGCAGCATTTTATGTAGTAAGCAAGCAGATAATGATGATTGTTATCAAATTTTATATCAGACTGAGAGCTTCACTTGCTCATCAAGTGAATGCTTGGCTACTCATGAGCTTGATAGTCAGTGTTGTTCTAACATCTCAGAAATGGTCTTATGCCATCAAGCTGACTTGTTTGTAGTAGTTTAAGGGATACATAAAGATAAGATATATATACTGATTCATGAGGGTGCTCTCATATGTCAAAGTCATGCTGTATACATTGGGCTACTTGAAGGTTCTTTAATTTTTTTTAAATGTGTAGATCAGTGAGTGAAGGATATGTTGCATTATGACTGACTACCAGACTCAGTGAAGCTATGGCAACCAGAAGGTGAGAATCTTTCTTTGGATGCAGTTCATTGTGAATGAAATCACTATACAGTACTAAATATACTCATGGCTCTGATGTACTTAATGATTAAATTGCTTATTTTCAGGAATGAAGAATATCACTTGAAACAAGTTATTAAGGCAGTGAGGAATTTTGGATTTGGTCAGTGTCATCGCTGCCCTGTGACTCTAACAGAAGAGGCAGTTTGTGAATCTCATTATCGTGCCTGCAAGGTAAGGATTGTCACTTCCACTCCACATGAAATCTTACATTACCTCATTTTTCTGTAGGTAATTACTTTTTTCTTTCTCTTTGTTGCAACAGGGACAACTTCCAGAAGGATGTGTGAAGTGCCCTGTATGTCAGACATGGTTCCTTGATAATGATGCTCTTGATGTCCATGGGCAACGGGTTCATGACTGGAGACTTCCAAATGCAAACAACACAAGTACTGTAAAATTTTTCTCATTACTTTTCATCTTCAATGAGCTCCTCATCGTCTACACCATTTCATTTTAGCTTCAGATGAAAGTGACTTGGTGCGAAAGGAAGGTCTGTCCCTGGAAGACAAAGTGGGATTGGCACGAAAGAAAACTCGAGTTATCAAGAGCTTCTATGATGGGAAGTTCTTCATTGTTGTCCTAGAATTTGAAGATGGACATGTTGAAGAACGTCTTCTTACCAGTGTGAAGTCTCTATCAGGAGCAAAAATCAAAAGCAGTCATTATGATGGTACAAAACACTTGTTCAGGTGAGTGGGCCTCTCTTATATCCAGACCTGAGGTAGTGCAACTTAGTAGATTGTACATGTCATGTATAAATAAAGATTTTCTGTCAATTGTATTTCTCCTCATCAGAATAACTTTAGTCACTGCATAATATCCAACTTTGGGATCTTTGTCAATGTTTGATCAATTTTGAATCTGCAACAAAAACTAGTGCTTGCACCAGTTGCAAGTTGCAAATCCACATGATGTTTTATCTTTTTACAGGTTAGCAGATGGCACAAAGTACTGGGAGCATCCTGATGGAAGGCTAGAATTGTGTGCAGAGAAGGATGATGCTTGTATTGGTTCACAATCATCTGGAACAGAGCAATCAGGAAGGCTGAGGTCATGGACCAGGCTTGGTTCTTCCAGGCAAACATATTCCAAGAAAACTGTTGAGACCAGAAATGATACTTCAGCAAGCATTGTTCATGCCAGTGCATCCCCTCGCACTCAACTTTCTTCTCCCACATCCAATTCAACTACTCCAAAGGCCCAGTCTCTCAGACCTAGCACTTGGCAGGTTGGAACTAGGAAAGACGACAGAACTCCTCTTCCCTCTCCTGTGCGAGTAAGTAGAATCTTGCTTCTCTCTGCGTTGATCCATATGTGTTGGATATCTAGTGACTCATTAGTGTATAATTTGAAAAAAAGTCAGTTAGGAAAAAAAATTCCTTGATAATGGGATGTCATGAGCTTTTCTCCCTTCTCATCCCCAAGAAGCTTTTACCAAGATGGGAGGCATGATTTATATGCTAATTTTTACCAATTTCAAGTGTCCTTAAAGGCATCAAGTTCATGCTGGATTGAATTCAGTCTTGATCAAGTCATCAAGAAGACTGTAAGCTCATGAATGTGCTCTGATGTCAAACCCCATTGCCATTAGACTCACATTATCTGCACATTTATTTTTTTAGCAGTTTAGCATGTTTTTGCATGGTTTAGCCCATTCACTCCCATGTTAGTAAGATACGGGTTCTAAATGACCTGTCAAGGACCTAAATAAAATTTGGGGGCAGGCATAATATGGGTAGGTGTTTTAATCATAATTCTTGAAGGAATAAGGTACTTGTCTATTCAAACAATATAATTATCATTGACCAAAGGTAAGTCAATGTTTCATGTGCAGAGTATATCAGTTTAATGAATGGATTTAAAAGTAAATTATTTTTCCTCAACTTTGGAATGCTATGCTAGGGGTTTAGTAGTTTATAGGTGGAGTTATTATTTTGTGTGACACTTCTTGTTATTGGTAAGTTCTCACTTAAACTCCAGCTTCAAAGTAACACCAAGGGTCAATAAATATTGTTTCACTCTTCTTCTTAATTGTATGCCTTTTCAAATTTCACCATACAAAAATCTTAGTGAAAGCCTTTCTCAATTTAGTGTGAGGAATAATAAAATATGTTGAATTCTGCTTTCGCAATGCCTCCAGCCCCATGTGGGATGTGATGCTTTATTTTTCACATCAATAGTCTTTTTAATATATTGCCTGGTTCCTGAGTTGTTCAAAGGTCACCCATTGGCTGAGATTCACAAAACTCAGTTGTCATAATACTGTGCATACTTTAGACTAATGAATAGCTTCCATCAAAGTTGAACATTGTTGAGGACCCAAAATCATATCTGAATCACACAAATACCATTTCTTTTCCGTTGGTTTTTTTTTTCAAGGCTTTTTCTGCTTGAAAGAAATGGTGGTGTTTATGGTGGTTATGAGGACATTGAGTTCATACTAGATGTTTCAGATAGGGGATTGAATTAGGAAATTTTACATAATATATCAAGTTCATCTGGACTGAAAAAATACAAATCATACTGAATAGTTTTTTGTGTATCATAGCGAAAGAGAAGGAGGAAAGGAGATAAAGGGAGTGAAGATACATCTGAAGAAATGGATTTTGTGGATGGAAGGGAAAGCCCAACTGAGATGATTGTCTCAGTAGTCCCCTTGGCATCAGAGGAAGGAAACGAAGATGTGCTTGTCAACAGAGGACAGATCAAGGTTTTGCGAAAAGACATGGAGACTTGGGAGAAATCACAGGGAGAAGAGGGAAAGCAAGGTGTTCTGAACCTAAACAGTTCCAAGTTAAATTGTGATGCTGAAGAGGAATCTGACTTGGATTCTCAAAAAGAGTTTTTCTATGAAGTCACACAACAACCTGGACCTCAGAAGCAGATGAAGAGCCACAAGTGATTTTCACCATTTCCATTATCGATAGATTGCCAAGGAGGTGTTTAAAAATGTATAGAATTGTTCTTCAATTAAGACAATCTGACATTACTAAACTTGTGTTCATTCTTATATGTACTACTCTTAGAAACCATAGTTTGTTGAAATACTGCCTGAAGCATTACACTAACTGAAGCAATGAGATATGCCTGCTCTACAAGGAAAGGATGGGTCATCTCACATTGAATCCCATTGTGATGCATCATCAACCACCTTGAACCTTTTTTTATACTAATTGCAGTTATAGGGATATAAGACAGCTAGATCTTCACCCCTTAAACATTTTCCCATCTCTAACCCAAAGGATTCCAAAAATATGATCATATGGAGTTGAGTTATTGTGAATCACTGGAGGAATTCTGTAACTCTTTCACAAATTAGGCTAGTGAATTTCTTAAGAGTCATGTCAAAATATTTTTAAGAATTTTATTTTGAAACCAAAGGGAACAATTTTTGTGTTTTTTTTTCAATTAATGAAGATGTCCAAAGTCCAGTTCCAAAGCTTCCAAAGTTATAAACTTAATTACCATGCATGGTGGATTGGTGGCCCTAACTACACTTACCATTGTAGAGAGTCCTCTGGGGGAATTCCTCTTGCTACAAAGTAAATGTGCATAATGCAGTGATACTTTGGATATTTTGAACTACTACCTTGATTGCGGGATGTACCTTTTTCATATCTATCTTTGCTTTTCTCAGGATAAGGGCTGCAAGACATGTTGATGATGAGTGGCTCCCAACACCAGAAGAGATGTGCAGAGGAAGGCTTGGTGGGCGGAAGAAGAAACTAAAATCTCTTCAACCAGGTAATAAATTAATTGAGAGCTTTACACTGTCTACCATTTGTGTTTATCAGTAGGTAGCATTATTAGCTTAGGTATTAACTTAGATTTGTCTAAAATCCTGTACTTAAAGGGTGGTTGTGTTACATCTGTGCAGATGATGCCACTTCTGCTTTGCAATGTTGTCAAATATCCCTCCATGCATACCACTTCAATTTTCTTCTTCTTATTTCCTTTGCAGTCTTAGCACAGATCTAGGCTACTGATTGTTTGACCTTATCTGACATTATGTCTTTGCCTTGCCCTTGTCCCTTGCCCACTTTACTCTTAGGCAGGTGAGAAGGAACTCACAAGAAGATTATTTACTTTGACAACAGTTTGTATTTGGCACATTTCTCCTTTTGATAGTGTGACACCTCATATTCCTCTTAGAAATGCAGATAAGGAGGTCCAGAACACCTACCTTGTTTTCCTGCATGAGTGTATTGGTTGACAGCAATACAACAGTGAATTTAATAATTTTCATTATTTAAGTCTTACAATTCTGTGCCTAGGCAAACCTCACCTAATTTTTTTATATTGCACTTTAGAGTAGATTAAAAGAGGAATTTTAGCTTTTTCTAAAATATTTTATCAGGAAGGAGTTTTTGATAATCTTTTGCTAAGTAATGCTTTCCTAGAGAACCAACAAAGTCAAAACTTTCATCTACAATTCAGTCAACAGTGAAAAGATGCAACTAAGAGTGAATTTTCAGTGGAAACATAACCAGAAAAAGCCAACTCTCAGTAAATTATTATATTAGCAAGGATCTTTTAATAAATATTATGAAACCCTCATGTTTTACAACTGTGAACAGATGTATGGTGGTCACTCATTCTTGGACTGAAAAATTCCTTCAATCAGTAAATGAAAACTTATTACTGATGAAAGAATGCTTTAGGTTAGTTCCATTTGGTTTTATTGTGAGTCCATGCTAATGCTCTTCATTATAATGCCATCTTTGGTATAATCAAGTATTTCCAATGTTCAAGTGATTTTGCAAATTTACTTTTTCTTCATAGCAGGAGACAAGAAGCCAAATGAGAATGAGAGAGTTGAACAACCTGTAAGTCCTTAGTGTGCACAGACATATCCTCTCTTTCCAGAAGACATGCTCATGGCCTGAAGTTCCATCCAATATTCCAGAAGAAGAGTTCAAAGACCCAGCAAACAGAGACTTGCAAGGAGGAAGAGAAGCAGGAACAGAAGGACTCTAAGCAGCTGACTCGGCGAATTTCTTTTCCTCTCATGGCTGAAGCTCGCATATCCTACACTCTGGAAGAAACAGACCTTTCCTCCAAGTTAAAATCCTCTGCCTCTTCATCTCGGTGTATTCGCATCCCCAATCAGGTGGAAGATACTCTAATCAGTGAGCATCCTCAGCCTGGACTACTTGCTGTCTCCTTATCATATTGCTTGGCATTCATGCATACTTTTATGCTCATTATTTTGGTTGCAGCAACAAAGAAGAAAAAGAAAAAGAGGATGGAACATGAGCAAGTTGTGACAGATGATAGACCAGAGGTTGTAGATGTCACACCTGATGTTTCTCTGGGCGACTCTGATGAAGAGGGCACAGAAGGTGGTGGCATGGAGCTCATAGTGCCAGATGGAAGCAAATCACATATGGTAGTTGATGATACCATGGTACATGATGAGGCCAATGATGGGCATAGAGATGAAGTAGAGGAAGAACAAGAATGTACTGATGAAGACAGAAGTGCTAAACAAGCTAGGAATGAGGAAAGTGAGGACATGCAAGTAGAAACACCTGAATCCATTGAGCCCATTGCAGACAGGTAGGAAATGGTGCTTCTCATCCATCTTCATCCAGTGGAAAAAAATAGTTTTCCTACATCTTTTAGATCTCCAGGGGAAATAGAGCCATCCTCTCTTCCCCGGAAAAAGCGGCGTCGGGCAGTGAAGCACAAGAAGAAAGCTAAACCAAAACTACCCATAGATGAAGAGGAGGTTTTTGCTCAGTATCAGGAATTGTCCTCTGTGAGTTTTCTCTTTATTTAGAATTCATTAATTGACAAACTAGGCCGTCCAGAGATTATTTTCATTAGGGGAACTTATTCCAAGGCATGTCCCTTGACCATCCCTCATTAGTATCATGTGAATGTATTATATCCCTGGGACATCCCAAAATGAGAGGAATACATATTTTTTTTACATGATGTGACTCATGGACATCTATGAAGTGTCCACCTTTGTCCAAAGAGGTTGTTCTCTCCAAGGATCTTATAGCAATGGAAGTTGAAAATCCTGCAGAATGCAGTGATTTATGGTCAGCATGACCAGGTTAAGTGAGAATAATTTGAAATATGTATTCCTACAAAATGCCCTTTTTATTCAAGACCTGATTGGTCAAGCATTCCAACTCTCATGACATTACAGTGTTCTGTCATTCTATGAACTTCATTTCCTTTTTCTCTGCCATGATTTTAAAATTTCCCCTTAATATGAGACAAACTTTCAAATAGCATCCAAGTACAGTATACATGCACTGCTTTTTAGCACTAATTTTTTACCCTATGCTGAGTAATCCCCAAACTAAAATTTTTGGTTCCAAGCAGATGAATCACCTCTTGTTGGAGAGCAGAGACATCCAAAAATTTAGCAAAACTGAAGGTTTCTCTGTTATGCTATGCTTTTTGGATTAGTAATCTTTGTCTTGTCATAGAAGGGTAAAGTAGTTATTCCAGATGGTTCTTCATTTATAGATATCCTGTGGAGCCTGTGAAGCAGAGTTCTCAGGGAATTTTCAACTTAGGGATTTTGCTCATCATGTGTGTGATGTCCACAATGGCCTTGCTCGACCAAAGGGTTTCTCACAGGTCTGTGCATAGTTCCCTCATGGTTCTGTCTTGGTTTGAAATTATATTGGGCTCACCAAGGAAGACTTCATGATAGGAATTCACTTCAGCGGAACGTACACGGGCTCTACGAATCAGTGTGGAACAACTGGGACGGGTCCATTGTCCTTCATCCGCTTGCCTCAAGGAGCTTCACAGTCCTCCAGCTTGGCTTTATCATGCCAAGACCTGCCCACATGCTCTGGTTATTAACTTACTTTTGCAACCACACATTATTTCATTGAAGTTGAGGAGAGTTTTCCATATATTTGGCCTTTTTGCTATAGAAAGCACTGCAAGAAGAACAGGCATTGGGCTATTCGATCATAGTTGATACTGGGGACCGGAAGCCACGTGCTTCACATCTGGATGTGGAGAATTTGATTGACCGGAAGAGGACATCTGCTACCCGGTAATGACTTGCAGATCAGTCTCCTAGGCAGAGCCTTGTCTAATAAGTTTTGATTCTCTGCTTAAAATTTTGCACGCTAGTCATGGCTCCTGTTATTGTGTGAGCACACTATTGATGTCCCTGTAATTGAGCATATTATGTAAAAAGATGGTCTAATGGGAATTTGGCTTGGGTTTCATGCTCTTCTTTCAGAAAACAACCAAGAATGTGGCATTTTCATTTCTGATATCAAATTGAATGCATTCATCATAGGGTGTGCATGAGGATGGTGATTCTCGTCTTTCTTGACCATGCATCTCTCTAAATTAAGGCTCTGTTGTGACTACCTCAATTTCTCTTCCTCATTGTAGTTCTTGGTGAGTTTCTGCTAAGTGTACCAGTAGCAGTGTGAATACAGATAGTAGATTTGCAAACATCTGGTGTGCCAAGTCACCAGAAAATGAATGTCTGAAATACCTGCACTCCAAAGAGATACAGTATTTACTCCAGTATAGTGCGCCACCGTGTATAAGACGCATCCCCACTTTTGAGGTCCCAATTTGTGTAAAAAAAAGATTCCCCGCATATAAGGCGCACCCCCCTATTTTGTAGTGAAAAGTGTCGGACAAGGGAGATGAATAAGGGGTAAAGCCGGTCTTGAGGTAGGTCGAACCTCGTTTCTTATTCACTGTCCTGACCTTTATCAAGGGGGGGCACAGTATCCCTAACGTTTGTTTTATTATCTGTGAAAACGGATGGAAATATACGGCGAAATAACACAGCTGCAGAGAAATCCATGTGATTCAGGAAATGAAGGAGTTGGGCATCTGTGCAATAGGTCATAAGTATGACATAGAGGAAAGTTGTATACAGAAGCAGATGGAGGCAAAGGCGAAATTAAGCCTGGCTTTAAAGAATCTCATGGCCTTTCGTGGGGAAAAAGGAATCATTTCCAGTAATCAAGAAGGGAGCGACCGAGAGTGATGGAGATGCAAACCCATATGATTTCGAGAGCAAACGGGATCTCCCATAGAAAATTCAATGCATCATGAGGTTGAATGACGCGATTCATAAGCAAGTTGGATTTTCTGTTCATCGGAAAACGTCAGCAGCTTTCCAAGAGAAATTATTGTCTCTGGAACAACCCCTCGGAGGAGGATGTGAGCTCCCTGAATCAATTTTCCATGCTGCCAGACACCTCAGATTCCAATTCCGATACCGAATGAAGTCCGTGAATCAACGTAGCCACTCCGTTTACTGTTTTATAATTATTATATTTCTCCTGTTCTGACTGACTGCAGACAGTTTCTGCCTCAAATTAGTGACCAATGAGTTATAGGTATGCTGACAAATTTTTTTCTCGAAAAAGAGAATTTTTTTCCTTGAGTATAAGACGCACCCCCTCATCGAACACAATAAAATATGCAAAAAATATGCGCCTTATACGCGAGTAAATATGGTAAATGATTAGATGATAAAATGTTAGTTAGATGATTTTAAAAAGTCCATCCTCAGCAAGCCTTAACTGAATTAAACAGAATTTCTTAGAACAGAATACATCTATGCAATTTCTTTTATTTTCTCTTGATCTTCTGTTTTTGTTTTCCAGACTCACATGTCTCACACTCTCAATATAGTAGCTTGCCTCCTCTCAGGGTCTCAAGCCCCCACTGAATCACATTGTCACATTTCTTTTTGACTTAATTGTTTTTTCTCTCTTGGGTTATTGTGTTCACAAAATGCAGTACCAATGCACTGTAGAAAATGATTGGTTACCTATATCAGACCTCCTTTACATATGCAGAGCAAAGGAGATAATGCACAAGTGGCAAGTGACAGCTGAGGCTCCCGAAAGTGACAGAAATGCAGAGGATCAATCAGTGAGTTCATGTCAATTTAGAAAGTTATTGAGTGGCTTTCTCATAATGCAGGATCATTTAAAGAAAAAAGGTTAATGTTTGCAGGATGAAAGTAATTGCATGGCAGTATCAATTTCACCTTCTTTGCTGTCCTCATGGAAGAGACAGTTAGCTTCCAGTGGAAGCATTGGGTGCTCCAAAGTTGGCTGTTCTGTTGAGGTCTTCACTGTGGCAGAGATGCAAATGCATTTCTTGACATGCCCTTGCCCATCAACAGACCAAGTGAGTGCCTTCTATATCATCACTGGCGAAATTCCATTCCAATGGCATTTTGTTCCCAAACAAATGGATCTTTTAGTATGAGTGCCTGGTGTGCAAGCAAGTGATGGAAACTGAACAAGACATGAAGGCCCATGTGAGGTTGAAGCATCCAGCTTGGGAGTGTGGGACAGTTGTGCGAGGGAAGAGAAATTTATTTGCCCAGACCTCCTCTGATGTCTCTCCTGCATGGCTTCAAGGCATATCCCTTGCCACTCAATAGTACATATTTATCTTCCTTCATTTTTGCTATTCAATTGTTGACTGCTCTGTAACAACGTTGAGTGACTTGCTTGCAGCCGCCTGGAAAATCACGAATTCAGAAAGATTCTGTTCCCCGAATGGGTCCCAGGGACAGGAGATGCTTGGTCCATACCATTGAAAGAGGAGACATTGTCCTTCCACTTACCATCATGCTTACATTCTATTCCCTTTGGAACAAATGTTGAATGCTCTTCTGATGTTGAGTTTCATTCACTCCATCGTTTTGGAGCTACAATTGACCAAGGTGAGTTTACCTAATGACTGGTAATATTCAACTCCTTATCTTATCCTTATTGTGTGCTCTGATTAATTTGATTTATTTCATCTTATTAATTTTAGGGAAGGTGCCAACCTTTTTTGCTGGTGGTCCAGTCACCAGTGGAGAATGGCTCCCAATGCCAATGTATGATTTGGAACGCCAGTATCTCCTGGTGACAACATGCAGTGATATGGATGAGCTTCTTCCTTCCCTTGGTGCCATCTCAAGGCATTCTCTCATTCAAGTGTGGGATACCAACATTCAAAGCATCCTCTCGTACGCTTTTCTCGATGTCTGTGTGACTTCAACTCCAGAGAGTGCGTGCAATACATCTTCCCTGTTTTATTCTTCCAGGACAAGTGATTCTCCACAGGTGGAGCCTATCTTTACTTACGGGTTAGCTGTGATAGGAGGACCCATCTGGGACCTCAAATGTCTTCCCAGTGGTGGCTACAGTCAAAATCTCAACAGGTTAGAAGTAGCTTATCTGCATTTCCCTCTGCACAAATACTGACCTGGTTTTAACAATTTTCCTTTCTATTCCAGACTAGGAATTGTGGGATGTTCCTGTGCTGATGGATGGATTCGCATCTACTCCCTTCCCATGCCTGAGGCTTTTGATCTCATTCCTGGTGGTATCTATGAAGCAGCACCTGTCATTGGGCTCTGTCTTTGTAGTTCTGAAGTTCGTAACATCCCACAGTGTCTCTCTCTTGCCTGGTCGCCATCAACACCTCATGAGTGAGTGCTCACTTTTTATGTCTTTTACATTAGTTGGCCAATTTATGGTACCATTAACTCAATTTAATCCTGGACTGTGAATACAGTCGCCTGGCTGGAGGAATGAGCAGTGGGATTCTTGCTGTCTGGGACTTGGGTCTCAATTCTTCTCTTCTATCTACAACAACAGAAGACAAGTCCATGGCTGCTCTGCTTCCCATATTCACTATTCAGTTGCATCTGGATCCAGTCACATCAGTGTCCTTCTGTCCAACTACGGGAGGCCGCCATCTTGCCACTGTTTCCCTCGACAGGACTCTTCAGGTCTTGGATTTGAATGATCCTGACCTACCTGTATTGAGTCTCAGACGACCAGCCACCTTGCATGATGTCTCCTGGCTCGGACAGTGGCCGGTTTTGCAGTTTGCTGAAGTTGCATATGGTACCACTAGTTTTGGGGCCTTCTACATGAATCTGGGTTACCCAGATGCCGCAGATCGGAGTTGGGCAGTTGGGTCTCATGGGACATTTGTGAGTTTTTGTTGAATGACTATGTCACTTGAATGACTTCATATCTGGTTGCAGTTGCAAATGTTGGCCCTTTCTGGTTTTGTCTGTAGACTGTGAGCCATGGGGATTGGCTGAATGCATCGGTGGTTGCCACAACCCCAGACATAATTCTTGTCCTCCATCGTCAGATGCATCACATGCTGGAAGACGACAAGAGCATGAGGAAACACCGCTACACCCTTACCAGTGTCGATGTCACTTGTGAACAGGCTGAACTCCATTACATGGCCCCTACATATGAAGAAGCGGCAAAACGTTTTCGTCTACTTTTTCGCGACAGTCCCATTGTAAGTCTTTCTTTGTGCAGCTTCATCTTATTGTGGTCTTATTGTCTGTTGGCTCATCGTGTATCCTCCTCTCATGATTCTTGATTTTTTTCCCCCCAGGAACAAGAGAGTTTCTTTAAGAAATCTTGGTCTCATCCCGGGTCAGAGAACCCACTACCCTCAGGCACTTATCCCATCAATTTGATCAATAAGGTGATATATCTGTCATTGCCATTTATTGAATGCCAAGATATTTTTTTATACCCATGCTTCTATGCTCCTTGTATAAGCGGGCATATTCTGAGACCCTAAACTCAACAGCCATTTATATTACTAATGTTCATTTTAGCAAGGTTCAAAACATATTGCTGAGAACTGAGCATCACTTGTCAAAATTGAACATATGCTGTAGACCAAAATTATGAGATGTTTTCATTTGGCATCAGGGGCATGAACCTGCTTTTAATCATCTTTTCATTGACAGTGATGACTTATTTCAAAAGGTTTAAATATGTTATGACTTGAATTACTGTCTCATTTGCCTTTGATTAACAGACATTATGTTTTGAAGAAGGTATGAAGGCTTTCTGAGGTCATTTAAAGTTTTTGAAAATACCCAGCAAGATATTAGATTGGAAATTGGAAAAAAATGTAAAGGATTGTGCAAGAGTTGAGTTGCTAGATTTCTTTCATGACTTTTCCAGGTGGCAGTGAACAATAATGCAGGTGCATTTACTTGGATCTTCCTGGGCCTCCAGAGCGGATTGTGCCGTCTCATTCGCCTTCAGGGCCTGGAGTCTTCTCACTTGAAGGATGTGTTCAGGCAGTCTCTGGCACAGTCATGATCCCATGGCTTTATATGTGATCATTTTATTAATGATTTGCTTGTTTTCTGGGAAATGCTGTCATGTGGCCAGGTGTTTCATGTTATGACGTGAGCCTTTTCCTCAGGTGAATTCTATTACAATCTTTGAGATGGTTGTAATGAAGAAAGACTTGTTACCAAATTTTCAGACACTATATTATTATTGCCAATCACTGCATAAATAAGCGGGAAAAATGTCATCGAGTTTGGACTGAAGGATACTAAAGCCTATAAGATGCCCTATTAGTCTGATGATCATGTTTTGGAGTCTCATTTCCTCTCTTATTACGTTTAGATGCAAGGAAAGTAATTATTTGGTGCTTAGAGTAAATGTAAGGGGTCAAAATTGATTGCCGAAAAAAGAAGGAAAAGTGTCTGAAAGGTTATTTTCCTGTCATTGAGTTGAAAAATGTAACATTTCTGTCATTTTGAAGGAAAAGAGAATAAGATATGGGAAAGTTTGAACCCATCAACATGTAATCTTTGATCTGTTTATATCTAGTCTACTGGGTTAGCAAGGAATCGGATAAGGGGAAGAAATGAAACTTGACTCGTAGACGTGGTGGTTTTGAAATGGTGGATTCCTCCACCATTCCAAAACAGGGCCAACCGGGGACACATCTTGGGGAGAGGGGATTGTGGGAGGATTCGAGGTCCAATCCCCCCAATGTGACTTTCGTCCTCACCCTTGACCCTATTTTGTCGCCATCCGCCCTTCCTGTGAAACGGATTTCATCATAATCCCCCCCCCCCCCCGGTTGACGCTTCAGCCCTAGATCCCTCCCCGTTTAGAAATGCTAGACGCGTCACGACAGCCAAGCGCAAAAAAAGTTAAGGTAGCTATAAGTGAGGTTGGAAACCCAGAAATAGAGGAATTTCCCCATTTTCCTAAAATTTGTAAAATTGTGAGAGTGATTTAGTACCAATAAAAAAGGGCAGATTGGATTCATAATAGTTCGTGAAATTCAGAGCTGATGGAGAGAATACAGGGTCGTGCAAAAGTTCCCGTACACTTTGAAAATCTAATTTTTTCACTGATCAACGGGTTTTTGGCGATTCTGATGTGTTTCTTTTTTAATTCTACGGACATTTTTGATATGAAATGTTTTCATTAGAGTAAATTTCAGTCTTTATTTGATTTTTTTTTCTCTCTGGAGCTATGACGCCTAAAGAGAATCGAAGCGCTAATCAAAGTGTACGGGAACTTTTGCACGACCCTGTAGAAAGGGAAAGCGATTTTCCACCACAAACACGATGAATCGCCAGGGCCGATTTCCCCCAATTTCTCCTTCGTATCCCCGCAGAAGTTTCGAAACTTGGCCTCTGGTGGATGGGGAGTCCTTCCGCCGACCAGCCGGTTCGAGGTGAGAAGCATCCCGAGGTCGAGGCCTCTCCGCCTTTCGTCTGGCCGATCGTGCTTCTCTTCCATCGAGTCGATTTTTACGAGATGGGATTTCCCTCGGCAGCGAACGCTCAATGTTTCCCTCTTGCTCCCTGATGTAACACTCCGCAGTGACGAAATGTTGAATGCGGACCGGATCGCGATCGGCACGACCCGAAGCCGATTGCGTGCGACCGACGGGGCCCCGTGCGCTCCACGAGCCTGCGGTTCCCATTACGACCCTGATATTCATCGAGGCACCCCTGACCCACTCGACCGATTCCGCACTCTAAATGGGAGACTCGACCCCCCCCCCCGGTGCGACCGAGGAAGAACGAAGCAGGGCGTGTCCGCCGATTTCGACACCGACCGTCGGTCGCCGCCCGAGCCTCCGTCGAGGCCGCAATTCGATCGCAACGGGCACGTGAGAACGTGGAAACGCCCGGAGGGAGATCGCAATCCGTTCGCATTCCTCCCCCGCCTTCCATCGTTTTTTTTTTAAGATCCTCCCCCGAACCATCGTGAGGATTAAATTGGAAATCTCATCGGGTTCAGCTTCCCACCATCGTTTGGGAATGATCTCCACTTTCCTTCCCTCCCCCCCTCCTGCTTTTTGCAGATTTGTGGCTCCCCTGTACGTGACCCCACCGCTAGAGACCGAGACCACCGGAATCCAATTTCTCACCGAGAGAGAACTGGGGATCCTGGCGAACGAGGGACCCAAGTCCGTGCTGAAAGGCGCCTCGGTCTCGCAGCAGCTCAGGCTGACCCTCGAGAAAGCCCGAGACATCACGACGAGATGGCTCTCCCATCGCTTCCCCCCCTCCTCCTCCCCCCCACCCCCACCCCCTCCTTCCCCCTCCTCCCCTCCTCGCATCCTCGTCCTCCTTCCCTCCGGAACCGCCCCCTCCCACCTCATGCGAGACTGGATCGTCCGCACCGCCTCCCGCCCCACGCCGGATCCCGAACTGGAGGACCTGCAGCGGGCGCTCGACTCGGTCCGGAAAAACCTCATCTTCCGCTTGCCCTCGACGGCCGACCCGAAGCTGGACCCGAAGTCCAAGTTCGATCGCGTCTTCGTGCTCGGATCCCCCGACCTCCTCCAGAGCTTTCGAGACGCCCGCGACCTCCACTCGGGTCGCCGAGAGGGACGCTTTTGGCTCTTCCACTCGGACGAAGACCTTCCCGGCGACTCGGTCGCCGAGCTCCAACATTCGGATTTCCTTCGGTCGGATCGGAAATTCATCCGAGGTGAGTGTGTCGTTGGTGGCTTTTCTGTTCGTGCCTCTCGAATGCGACGCAAATTAGAATTAGAGACTTCGGCAGAATCTGAAATCCGGCCGAATAAATATTGTCAGCCAGTGCCGTGGGCAGGAAATCTGCAAGGGGGGGGGGGGGAAGGGGGGGGGGGGGGGGGGTTGAGGCCAGATAGACACCCCAACCCTACGCCTAGTTCCACTACCCGGAATTGCCTTTTTCAAAGAAATCATGGTCTTGCATCTTGGGTCTGTGGACAGACATCAGACTTTCCTCAAAGAGGCAAAGCTAAAATTGGAATTCCCAAGGAAGGTTCAAATATGCCTCTCAGTGACTTTCACCGGCCGGGAAGCCCAGGAGGGGAGGGGGTGATGGGTTCTAACCCCGTAAACCCCCCCCCCCCTCCCCCCTTCCCTACGCCTCTGTTGTCGACTGGATGGTCATCATAACAACACATGATTGCTGCATGCAATGACGCGTCGAAGATGCTTCATTCTTCATTCCATCCTTCTCGATTCCAGTCGCGAGCGCGACGGGCGGCGGGGGTCCACCGACGGAGTCCACGTGGCTCTATCGCACCGGGGAGTTCCTGAAGGCCGCGTACCCCGACTGGAGGACGGGGCAGCCGACGAGGCTCCTCCCGCCGGTGGAGGACGAGGACGGGAGGGAGAAGGGGAAGAGGTCCCCGGTCGTGAGGCTGCGTCGGCTCGGTCGGAGCGGGGGGTTTCCGATGTTCGTCACCTTCGACGCGGACTTCGTCCGCTTCGCGAAGACGAGGGACGTCGGTGGCGGGATCGAGGGGATCCCGACGGGGGAACACGACATCGTCTCGATGCATCGAGACCTGGGGCTGCTCTGAGTCCGAGTAAAAAATTTGGACGCAGGGAAGACCGGAAAGGAAGCTTCGGAAGCGACAGCGATCGAAACCGAGAGAGCCAAAGAGCAGCTCGAGAAGGATCTTCTCGGTCTGAAAGCCACGACGAGCGCATTAGAAACGGCCGCTCGAGAATGCGGCCTGGAAGACGTGCGAGTCTCCCTATCGATGATGGCAATCCCAAACGCGAAGAGAGCCTCGTTGGAGGGAAAACTCCCCGGAGACCACACCATCTTTCTCTCTGGAGAAGACTGGATGTCGGTGAAGGCCTCGAGACGCCGGTGGGGGGAACGACTCCTGAGGTCCGACCGTCTGCAAGCCTATAAATTCGACGACGGGATGTACCTCAAATTGCTATCCGTGTAAGTCGTCTGGAGACGTCGATGTCGAGAGTTTAGCGAAAATCATTCGGATCGATCGTTTGGGGAACGATCGGGAGTCCATTCGGACGATTCCATCACGTTCGCAACCCCGGCCCACACGGCCCGAATGCACGTGGAGAAACCGAGCTTCCTCTCCGAGGACGAGCTTCACCTGCTCGTGAACGCACCGAAGGAGTTCGCGCCGAAGGGGGCAGCCCGGACGGGGAAGACCTGGCTGCTCCGGGAAAAGATCCGGAACGTCGCCGCGGCCTGGTTCTCCGACGGACCCATCGAGTCGAGAGACGAGAAGATCCCGTTCGTCTGCCGCTCCCCGGGCCTTGCCGTGCACCCGGAAGAGACCCTTCTCGACCTTCTCCTCGAATCCGCCACGGCTGCGCTCGCGAAGTGAGTGCAGGACGAGCGAGCGATGGAAAGAGAGAAGAAGCGGGTCTTGGGGATCCCAAGGAAGAATCTTTTCGTCTGTCGTTTGCATCCCGATGTAAAAACGATGCAAATCGAGCGGAAGGGAGCGGGCGAGGACGGTCCGGGCCACGCATCGAGGAATTCGAACCGAAGCTGGGAAATCCGTCTCGGCTCCGAGCCGGTCGCGACCACCGCGCACGCCCCCGGGATGCCATCCGACGTGCAAAAGAGACGGGCGGAGATGACGACGACGTGGGAACGCGTGGATCGGTCCCGGCCCCGAGACGGAAGGACTGCAGGACGCGATCGAGAGGATCCGACGCTTGGAGGCCGAAATCGGACCCGCAGGGCTGCGAGGGAGAAGACCGTTCTCTCGTTCGGTGTCGAGCCTCGAGTCGAGGTTAGAGGAATGCTACGACCGATCGAAGGATCTCCCGAAAAAGACGCAGCATGCCCTACCGGACGAATCGAGAAGGATCCCGACGACCCGAAAGCCAGCGGTCCACCACATCTTCGTGGACGAGGCGGATCATTTATACGCTCACTACGAGGACCACCGGTTGCGTGCACTCCGTTCTCTCTACGAGCCAGGGCGAAGATATTTCTGGCAGTCGTACGATCCCCTCGATACCCAGATCTTAGAGGGTGCCTGCAGACGAGAGATGGAAGGTGCTCACCCTCTATACGCGGTCTTCGGGAGCACAGAATCCATCTTTAAGACCTGGAACGGAGAGAACTCCCAGCTCTCTTCGGCTCGAACCTCTCGGGCGTCGTGCGGCGACCCGACTCATAAAATGGATCGAATCCGACCGGGCCACGACGTCGGGGGACCCAAAGTCGAAAGATTCCATGCCTCCGCTCCGGATCGTATAGTGATCATCGTCCGAAAACTTCCGATGTCGAGGTTCCCTCGTGCGACCGAACCCGGGGACGTGGCAGTCCTTTTCGTCGACGACGCGGATAGCGCCTTCTTCACGAAGTCGGTCGAGGCGAAGCCGAGAGAACGACCTGGGAACGGCGTCGAGACCGGGAACGGCGTCGTTTTGGATGCGGATGTCTTCCGGGGCAGGGAGGCCCCTGTCGCGTTCGTCGTCACCGGCGAGGGAGGAAAGCTCCGCGGCGACCTGTACTTGGGAGCATCTCGATGCACTTCCCACCTCGTCGAGATCGTCTCGAATTCCAGGGAAGACGAAGTGGAAGCTCGAACGCAGCACCTCCTCGCGGCCGCGTCTCACCGCTACGTCCCGGGACCGCCCGTCTTCGAGAATGCATTCCGCGTCGCTCTCCTCCGGTGGCTGGCAAGGGGTGGGAGCGGCCCCGCCGACGAGGAGGTCGTGCTTCGTCTGCTCCTTCCCGAGGATGCTCCCGAGGAGGTCAGGAATCGGTATCGACGCGTGCTCCAGACGTTTGCAAAGTTGGAAACGATGCAGCATCGCTCTCGTCCCGGTCGAGAGTTCGAGTGTCATCCGGGAAGAGACGCATTCGGTCGATGCACGCCGCCGGCGAACGAGCCTCACGCGTCGAACGAACGACGAGCACTCGCTCGGTCGGAATGGCTTCCGTGTCGACCGATGAAGCCTGGGGGGTTCGTGGGGGTTCCCGTCGCGACCGCATCGAGTGGTATCGTCTTCGCTTGGGAATATCGGAAGGGCCTCGTTTATTTTCGGATTCTTTTCTCTACGCGGTGGATGGGGTGGGCCCGGGTGGGCCCGGGTGGGCCCGGGTGGGCCCCTTTCATCTCCCTCCTGGGACCTCATCCATTCGATCCGTTCACCGTGAGTGTTTATCGGTGTGAAGGACGATGGCGCGCACCATACCGGAAAGCAAAACGCCGAGAACGCGTTCGGTGTGTCATCGGTTGATCGTACGGAAGACAGACTATGCTTTCTTTTGTCCTATTGTCGTTCCTTTTATGGCTGACTTTACGCAAAATAAGGGAGGATGCGAAAAGGAACGCTCTTCTTCTCGTCTGCACGACGGATGCAATTCCCGAAAAATTCGCACGTGCTGCAGTGAGCGAAAAATGAAACCGGAAAGCCGCGTAAAGCGACCTGGAGGAGTTGCAGTCCGGTTCCGGTTTTATTTCGGTTCCAGCCCTAGTTGGGATTTTGTCGCAAGAGTCGTCGATGGCCGCACGGTGGGACTCGAGTCAGACCGACGTCCGAACGGAAACTACCGTAGAACCGAACCGCAGCCGAGTTGCCCTTTCGAAACGAGCCCGAGTCCCGGCCGGTTCCGCGTCGTCGGGCCGAGACGATTCCGACTTTCGATCGCGTTCTCGTCGTCGCGAACGTTGCCAGCGGATTCGGGGTCGCGAGCGTGATTTCACCACCCCACACCGAAGTTGCTTTTTCGAAATGGGAGCTCCCATTTCGAAATCCGCTTCCCGTCTCGTCTCGATCGGCTCGGCCTCCGGCGAGAAAGACGCGGAGGCTCGAACTCGGGCCCTCCCGACGGCCGTCTCTCGCCTCGACGTCACCTCCGGCGTCCCCCGATCTGCTTCGATCGTGGATGCGGAGGGACGGGCCCGGGGGGACGGGCACGGAGGGACGGGCCCGGGGGGACGGGCACGGAGGGACGGGCCCGGGGGGACGGGCACGGAGGCGATGCTCCGTCTGCTCCTCCCGAGGGATGCGCCCGGGGAGGTCGAGGACTTCCATCGCCTGTTGGAAACGATACGGCGTCGCTTTCGTCGGACCTTTTTCGGTGGACGGGTGTCTCGGGGGAAAGGAGAGAGGCATCCGATCCACGCGATCGAGCGATTCTTCATCACGAAACGAACAAATCGACTAAGATACCCCCACCCCCCTCCCCCCTCTCCGTGCCGTGGAAGAGAGCCAGGACCGAAAGCCACTCCCTTTGGATTCTGCGTTTCCCAACCGCAATTGCATCGTAGGAAACGGCTTCGTCCTGGTCTGAATCCATCGAAATGGGGCCATTCGTTTCTTTGCTCTCCACCGAGAAAAAGGACCCTCTCCCGCCCTTTCCCCTTCCTCCCAGGCGGAGAGAAGTAAGCCCCCCACCGTACCACTCGGCTCCCCCATTGGCGAAATCCTGGCTACGCCATTGCGGAGGACAAAAAACGATGCAAAAAGGAAAAGCGAACGAAAGAAAGATGGACTATCTTCGACCATCCTGCAAGGATCTCTGGCTCCGTTTCCGCGACGACTGGATTCCAGGAACGAGCCGCACGAACCAAAAGGGTCCAAGTAGTAAAATACTTTTTTTTGTTGTTGTCATTTCTCTATTTGCGCAGAAATGCGACCGGGATGGAGCCTCCGTTTCGTCCCGGACGGATTTCTGTGTTCGTAGCGTCGCGAGGTAACAATGTGAAAGTAACGCGTTACGGTCACCGATTACGTTTTGCGGCGATTTCGGCGGCGACGAGTGATTTACGACGCGGTCGAGGCTCGTTAACGACCGATCCAACCGGTCTGGCACGTTTTCGCCCAGGATTTCCCACGGCCGGCTAAGAGAAAGATGCTCGAAAAAAGTAACTCGGAAGTAACTCGTATTCGTGACTCGTAACTAACGATGAGAAGGAATCGGAACGACTGCAGTAGTTACTTTTCGCATTTATCGAGTCCAACACCCTTGTCCTCTGGGTACTTCATGATTTCGGCCGATGGATTCTGGTGCGATCTAAACGCGATGAAATGAAACGGGGGAAATGATTTTTCCGTGCCAAAAATCCTCCTTTTTTTTCCTTTTTAAGCGAAAACGAAAGGAACGGAAAGATGGTCTCTCGGTCGACTTCGCACGTTCGTGTCCCCGAAAAACGTTGCTTGCGGGTTGCGAACGGCACGAATTGGAAAAAAAAAAAAAAAAAAAACAAAAATAAAAAACAAAAACCCTTCACAGCGGCCGGTTTTCTCGAAACGGAAATCGACTCGTCGTTCTGCCCGAGTTCCAAATACCAGCCTTTTGTTTGCGGTCGTCGAGGGCCGGAATCGCGACCGGACCGAGGAGAGACGAGGATTCTGAAATCGTTTCGAAGGTCGCGACTTTTGCGGTCGTCCTCGGAGAATTTTCTAAAAGAAAAAAAAAAAACGATGGAAGGCGGGGGAGGAATGCGAACGGATTGCGATCTCCCTCCGGGCGTTTCCACGTTCTCACGTGCCCGTTGCGATCGAATTGCG